ATTTATATGCATTAAATAAAAGTTTAAAAAAAAAAAAAGAAATCAAATTCATATCTCTGCATGAGTCACAATTAGCAGAGCAAGTCAATGGGTGCACCCATACTGCCCAGGCCATTCAGGCAGTGTCACCCAGTTCTTCTATCACTGTAATTATAACCAGTACATAAATAAAGAAACCTCAGCCAGGAAACAGTGTTCAATGTCACACTCAGTGGTGACACCAGTATAGAACCTTGCTTCCTACAACACCAAAGCCCAGGTTCGTTTCTATTATACCACATGACTTTTTTCTTTCTATAGCTTATCTTGAATCTGTTGTTCTGATTCTTGGATGGAAAAAAGTGACTCAGTGCTCTCCCAATCCACTAGTGAATGCAAGAAGGATGAATATATTCCAGAGGAGTACCTGAAGTGTGCACTTCAAAATGATCCATCAGAATTAATATATTGAATTTTAGACCCAAAGTAGAATAAAAGCTAGACATGCAATTACCTTTCTTTGCCATTCTGTTTTGCGTTCTGAAATGTCAGAAATACATGGCCAAAGCAGGCTTACAGCTACATACATGGACAGTTCAGAAGTTGTTTCATGAAAAGATGTTGAATTCAGGGATATATTGAATAAGGAGCCAAACATGGATTGTAAGATATTTGCATTGGGTGTTGGAAGTAGTTTGAAAAGCCTAAACACAGAAAAATGTATTCTTAAAGCAAGAACTTTAATTTAAAACATTGTACTTACTGATGAAATGGAGCAAAATGCCTTTAATGCCATTGGCACAACCAAGTTAAAATACCAGGGAATGTAGCAAAATGTCTTCAAAATATTTTCTGCACTATTTCTCTGAATCTACTATATTATGTGCTAAGTGCAGCAAATACCATTAGAACTGAATTTAATAGAAGCATATTTAAAACAGGTATTGCATTCCAGAATGCAGTCAATTGAAAGCTTCTTGATAAATTTAAACAGAAATTAAATAAAAATAGCTCCTTTGCTATTTAAAGTAGTAGCACAAGGTGTTGTAAGAGTGCAAGAATGATCAATTGTCTATAAGACTCATGCCAGGTATTAATGCACACACAAATGTGTCATTCAATTAAATTCCTGAACCACTTTTAGAATTCTCTGGCTAGCTGACTTTTTGATAATGTTACACATAGACTACTACTCAATTATTATTTTAGCATCTGTCTTGAGCCAATGATTTCCTCTCTGTAAATGCCATATATTCTGCCTGTGTATAATCCACTCCATAAAAATAAAGTTTGGAGAAAAGCAAAAACTGAATGACAGACGGAAGACTGGCATCCTTTTCTAAACTAATCTCCACATGCATGACCAAATCAAACACTTTGTCATAGGTATTGATTTAATAGATAAAATGGAAAACTAGAAGCTGATTTTTTAAGAAAATATGGAGGTTTTTTTTAGAAAGTCCCAGAGTAATTACTGCATTATCACCTTTGAAATGCTGCTATTTGAGTTTGCTCATTTCCTTCATCCAAAACATGAAGCCAGTTATCATAAAGATGGTCCGTAAGAAGACTTCCAGGAATGTTTTGTAGAAAATTCTTATATAGGTAAAAAAAAAAAAAAGAAAGAAAGAAATCATGTTATTCTCATGGAAACAGCCATTGGCTAACCTGGAAAGAAAACTTGATGCTTTGAGTTTAGTTCCAATGTTCTTCACAGTCACCAAACTGTGACAGCTCCAAGACTACCTCCAACTCTTCACTTACTTGCTCTACAGAAGCTTGCATGTGGATTTTCTGTATCCAAAACCAGAGAATACATGCAGAGTGTCTAGGCAGTGGTGGGAATGGAGACAGTCTACTGCCATCATCTGACACTTCCTTCCTTAGGAACATCTTACAAACTAGTAAGATCTGTTGTTGAGTCATCATTACTTCTAATATTTTCTTGATAAGAAATAAACATACACATTTAGTTTATTTCTTTTTTTTTTTTTTACAGGCAGAGTGGACAGAGAGAGAGAGACAGAGAGAAAGGTCTTCCTTTGCCGTTGGTTCACCCTCCAATGGTCGCCACGGCCAGCGCACCGCGCTGATCCGATGGCAGGAGCCAGGTGCTTCTCCTGGTCTCCCATGGGGTGCAGGGCCCAAGGACTTGGGCCATCCTCCACTGCACTCCCTGGCCACAGCAGAGAGCTGGCCTGGAAGGGGGGCAACCGGGACAGAATCCAGTGCCCTGACCGGGACTAGAACCCGGTGTGCCGGCGCCGCTAGGTGGAGGATTAGCCTAGTGAGCCGCGGCGCCGGCCCACATTTAGTTTATTTCATGTCCACTAGTTTTAATTTCCAGCAGTAAAGTTTTGGAATCAGATGACATAAATATCTACACCCATGCATACACTCATATACACTTGGAAAGTGAGGATGAACGTTTCTGACTTGAGTTGTGTGTACTCAAAGGGAGAAAACTCACATCACAGTCTCATTCTTCATGCCTTTATGGAAATTAATCTCTCTATAGGTCTTTTTATTTTAAAAATTTATTTATTTAAGAGGTAGAATTATAGACAGAGAGAGGAAGAGACAGATAGAAAGGTCTTCCATCTGAGGTTCACTCCCCAGATGGCCACAATGGCCAGAGCTGGGTCAATCCAAAGCCAGGAGCCAGGACCTTCTTCCTGGTCTCCCTTGTGGGTGCAGGGGCCCAAGCACTTGGGCCATCTTCCACTGCCTTCCCAGGCCTTTAGCTGGGAGCTGGAACATAAGTGGAGTAACTGGAACTTGAACTGGCACCTATAAGAGATGCCTGTGCTGCAGGCAGAGGTTTAACCTACTAGCCACAGCATCAGCCCCTCTTTATAGTTATAAGCAGAAAGGCTTTGCATATATTACCATATACCTAGTTTTTACCTACAAGTTATTCTTTACGTCCATTGGTTGAAACATGTACAATCCCCACAAGAAGGAAATTTAAGCATAATTTAGATATATCATTAATCCAGGCCTTTGGTTACTCAGACTATAGATAAGCTTCCTAGTGGATCCAAGGAAAGTTTGCTCATTTTTGGCACTGATGAACAATGTTAATACCATGAAATTGAGCCCATGAAACTTTCTGAAATTTCAGTTTCTTTATCTAAGCATGAGTAGTTGGTTTAATAAATACATCCAGGCAACTATCATCTTTATAATCCAATGAAGGTTCATACATTTTAATATTTATTGAGCTATTATTTGTCCCAGACACAGTAGTACTTGAGATGAAGCAATGAAGTCAGAAGACACAGTCCCATTCCAGTAAAACTTTACTATGTCATTGGTCTGCAATAGCACCCGTATCAATAATATGTGTTAAGCAGGTATTTTGTGGAGTTGGATCAGCCTGTGGGGAGAGGAAATCCTCCAGCTGTGGCTGGTTCTGGGAGTTTGCCAAACTCAAGGCACTTTTGGTGATGCAAACCACAGGAACACACGCTTGCATCATGTGCCTTCTTTTTGGTATCTTAAACCAGATGAAAAGCCCACTGAGAGCTGGATTTAAAAAAAATTATTTATTATTTATTTGAAAGGCAGAATAAGAGAGAGAGAGAAAGAGAACGGTCTTCCATCTGTAGTTCACTCTCCAAATGACAGCAATGGTGGGAGTTGGGCCAATCTGAAACCAGAAGCCAAAAGTTTGCTCTGGGCATCTCATGTGGGTTTTTAGAGGCTCAAGAATTTGGGCCACCTTCTGCTGCTTTCCCATGAACATTAGTAGCAGGCAGCTGGATGGGAAATAGAGCAGCTAGGACTCAACCCAGTGCTTACATGGGATTCTGACACCACGGAGGTGGCTTAACTGGGTATGTCAGAGTGCTGGCCCTGGGAGCTGGTTATTAAAGTCACAACACAATCCAAGAAGATTATGTGAAAGATATTTGCTATTGGGTCTCTGCTTCTAGACACCTGAATGACAAAATCAACATGGCCCTGCTTGTATATCTATTTCTTGTCTAAAACAATTCTCTAGTTATAATACTTGGCAACCATAGAAGGTCCAGATTACAAAGTCTTCAGAGGATAACTCTAAGTCTTGCAGGAAAATTAAATCCTGTTCATGTATGTACCTTACAGAGGATAAAACTCAACTTGTTGTTTTGCACCATTAGCATAGCTACAAGTCATTATGACACTGTTGCTATTTATCCTATGGCCCATTTGACTAAGAAAGATGAAATACTAAGTGTCTCATATTAATGGAATTTGGAAAATTTATTTTTAATCATCACTACAGTGACATATTTTGTACATAGCTCCTAAAAAGCAGCAAATGGATTGATTCATTTTTTCCTCTGCTCTTTTATCTTCTCTTATAGAAATATAGCAGGTACTTGTGATTTAGCCTTATCTTTTCAAAATGTATTTATTTTCCATAAAAATTAACTGAATATTCAGAATACTGAACTAACTTGGGTACTACACGTGAATTCAGAGTCATTTTCAAAGCAAGGCTTGTGTTGAGAGAAAGTTACTCTACTTTTAGTACCATGGATAGTGTGTTAAATTCAATAGTTACTAATCAAGCATACCAGAGTTCATGAAACTGAAAGAAGGCAAAAATGGTGGAATTGTTCCCTTACCACTTTTAAAGTGCAGGCATAGGGGACAGGGGAAAAAACCATCATTAAATAAATGGAGGTTTTGATGGCCCCCCTTTTTTTAGCCTTTGTTGATTCAGTGTAAAGAAAATTCTGTAACAGCTTTCAAAGATTAATAGAATTTTTTTTAAAAAGAGAGCTTGATGATAATATGTTGTGAAAATCATCAAATCCAGATGATTTGTTTGGATCCTCATTCTGTATTGGGAAGGGTAAGTTTTGACATGATTTTGGGAACAGCATTATTAATAATATTAGTTCTATATGGATTGCTGAGGATGAACAAGGACAGGGTCATCTGTGAGAATCAAAGAAAGCATATGAAGTCCATGGGGCTTTCAACAACCAATGAAGTAGTTGCCTTCAACATGTACTTTGTGACATTGGTTTCAGAATCTTAAATCTTTAGGCCTATTATTGTTCTTAGGCAGCCATAATGAGTGAAACCCACCATATGGCACCCATATTATATATAGGTGTTGCTAAAACTTTTCCTACCATAAAGGTCGTTGCAACCACCAGAGCAGACTGCCTCTTCCAATTCACCTGGCGTCCCAAATTCAATTTCCTCTGCAGTGCTCTACATGATTTCTGATTGCCATGTTTTCTAAATATGCCCAGTGTGCACAGACATTTGTGATCAATTATGGAAAGCATATCCTGTGTGTGAAATAAAGGGTATAAAATTACATGACATTCCATTTCCACAAACCCAGAACACATGTATGTACCTGTTATGAAAGGTATCAAAAGTATGAAAGGTTACAGCTCTACAGAGAATGGAATGAGAATAACTATGAAGATTTCATTTTGGTGTCTCTGAATACATTTTGTATCTACCAGTCATTGTATGTTCAAACAATAAAACATGTTAATGCTTGATTTACCAGTGTTATCCTTTCCAGTGAATTTACACCTCTAAATCCAACTTTTTCAATGATTGTAGCCAAGGGTGGACATTTTATTTCTAGATCCATTTCATTTTATACTCCCTTTAGAATGACTATATACTCCATTTCTGCCTCTTAGCATTGTCTTCTCCTTTAAAACCATGCTGAAAAACATCTTCTCTGAAACCTTCTCTGATTGCATTCCCTTTTACCAAGTTTTTTTTTAAATTTCCTACTGCCCTATTTACATTTCTTTTTTTTTTTTTTGAAGAGAATTTTATAAAGTATCAAATGAGTACTCTTATTATATTTTTTTGACAGGCAGAGTTAGACAGTGAGAGAGAGGCAGAAAGGTCTTCCTGTTTCTATTGGTTCACCCCCCAAGTGGCCACTACTGCCGGTGCATTGTGGCCAGTGCACTGCGCTGATCTGAAGCCAGGAGCCAGGTTCTTCCTCCTCGTCTCCAAGCGGGTGCAGGGCCCAAGGACCTGGGCCATCCTCCACTGCACTCCCGGGCCACAGCAGAGAGCTGGACTGCAAGAGGAGCAACCAGGACAGAATCCAGCACCCCAACTGGGACTAGAACCTGGGGTGCCAGCACCACAGGTGGAGGATTAGCCTAGTGAGCCACACGCTGGCCAACATTTCTAATGCAGAAGAACAGTAAGTTTCAGAGTCAGTTATTCTGCGGCATTTTCAATCGAGTATGCCATTTGTTTCCTCAGTGAGCTTGGTCACAATAAAGAACTTGATTAAGACTTTTATTCCTTTCGTGACATGGGGATGTTAATACAGATTTCCTCTACATACACTTATGGAAGGTGCAAAGTCTAGTGAGGCATCTGCCATGTAGCTGACATGATGAATTTCTTCACATCTAGCCTACAAATCCTTACATTAAGAGGTAAGTTTGGCTGAACCCTCAATAAATGTACCACTCACAACATAGTACCCCAATTTTCATAGGCCTCACCCTGTAGCTTTCAATTTACAAACTCCTTTAGAATGAATGATTCACACATGCCAGGGGATGAATTTCTATGTTGAAGCCCTGAAGAGACAAACGTAATACATGTGAGACATTTTGAGTGGTAATACTAAGTTGCCTGGAAGCGGAAATGATAGGAAACTTGTGATTGGCAGATGATTCCAGTTCTTCAGAATCCAAGGAGAATGTGAAGGGGAGGTAGACTCACAGAGACTCAAACACAGAGCCCATTCTAATTTTTCTGTGCAACAGTATGGGGTCTTTTTGCTGAAACATAGACTTGCTTTTTTCACTCTGCAACACCTAAATGAGGTTGTCTTTATTGCAGTAGCATGAACAAAGCTTACCAGTCAAATATGGTGGCTATCTCATGTTTTCTTCACTGGGGGACAGATTTTGATGAGGAGACCTGACCCCTCCAAGTTCTCTCAACAAAGATGGGTTATTGAAAACCAAAATGAGACCTACCAAGAGAGGTGCGGGCAAATTGTCATTCTTGCAAACATCTTGGATCAGAGACCCAAATAGCTGAGTAGGCTCTCCCAGTGAGCTGTCCCTGCTTCTATGAGAGCCCCATTGATTCAGCCACTTCCTTAAAGAATGTTCGCTTTGAGTAGGTTTCAGGTGGGGATCTGAAGAAGAAGTGAGATGATTAGTTGCAGAGTTGAAGTCATAAATATTCATTTACAGCATTTCCAGGTTATGGCACATGTGTTGAGTGATTAGAAAGGGATAAATTATATCCTTTGTTGTGTAGAAAGGTCTACATTCTGAAATTGGCTCCCAGAACCCATGTGCTCTCCTTTCCCATTTCCCAGAAACTGGTAAGGAAATCTAGAACACTCTCATGTTCAACTTTTGTGGTGAGAATACTTGTTAGACGGTGCTAGCCACAGCTTGTTGCATTGCACCATGAGGTTTTTAATTTTTAAAGGTGCAAATTTACTGATGCTAAGTTTAGAGTAAGTTCATGGGTAAGATCTCATCTGAAAAGGTAAAATGCATTTGGTGTTCAAACCAAGTGGACATGGATGATTATCTTACTTCATAGTAATTCTCACCCAACTCATTTATCTTCTCTGGAATATGAAATGCCTAGCAAGTGCCAACTATCTCCTATCATGAGAATCCACCCATCTGACACAAGTTGAGCTGGGTAGACTCATACCATGCGTGGCCTTGTCACCTTCCCCAACTTGTGCCTCCTCATCAGTCTCCATTCTTGAGCAGGGCTCCAGAGGTGTCTGCAATTCCTCTGTTAAAAGAAAAACAAACAGTTGCCTTAGTCTCAGATACCAGACTCAACCTCTGGTATTGGGACAAAAAAATTACTAAATACATGCACTGCTTCCTCATGATAAGTATTTTCTTAAGTTTTTAAGCATCATGAAAAAAAGTTCATGAAAATACACATTATGAAAAAACGATGCATGGGTTTAAAAATGATTTTGACCAAAATAAATATATGGATTCCATCTTTATATTTTATTTTTAACTTTAAATACCATCTTTGAATGAAATATTTGAAGTCCCCTTGCATAAAGGAGAAGGGAGATCAGATGGGATGAGCTGGCAACACGACAAACGCTCATCCAGTGTCCAGCTGAGAGTCAATCATAGAAAGACATGAAGCTACAAAGTTGTCTTAAATTACAGTGTTTTGTGTCCAGTTCTATACCAGGAAATTCAGTTCTTTCTGGAGAGAAGCTGTGAGAAGCAGTGAGAAAAATCTTGCAGATATTTTTGGAAAAGTTCTTAGTGTTATATTAAAGGAAGCAAGGAATAACAAGAGTCATAATAACAGTGCAGATTCTAATCTTCAGTGATTTAGAAAATAGAAGACAGAGAGCTGGATGGGCCCATACCAGTCATGGATCTGAGGTCTTCCTCTAGGTGATCTGTGTAATCAGTATCTATGCTTGAAATAGGGGTGGACGTCCTAAGCGGTACCAGTTTATCTGTGGAAAAGAAACCAAAAGGTTGTCTAAATTTTTGTTGTCTAAAAATTTGTATGAATATTCTCAGATTCCAGACTCATGTCAATTTCTGATATTGATATGATAAGTTTTGAATCTGTTTATCTATTAGTCATAACACATATTCCATGAATGTTTTGAGGCTTCTTGGGAAAAATGTATTAAAATATATTTTGTGAGAAAATGATGTATGGATTTGAAATTTTGGGCCAAATAAACTCGGTTTCCAATTCTAACTTTATACTTTTTTATTTTTATCTCTGAGTACATCTCTGCAGGAAATGTCCCCTTAGGTAAAAGAGAAGGGAAAAAAGATCCAATAGGGTGATCTGGTAATTTGGAAATTGCTCATTCAGTGTTCAGCTGAGAACCAATAATCAAAAGCCATGAAGCAAAAAAGGTTGTCTTAGTTTAAGGTGCCCCATGTCCAGTCCTTTATCATGGAGTTCAAATTCTTTCTTTACAGAAATGGAAGATTTCATCCAAAGTAAGAAACATCTTGCAAAGCTTTTTAAAAAGAAGTTATTGGTGTATTGTTAAGGGGAGTTCAGGAAACATCAAAGTGGTTAAGTAATTATGGAGATTCTAACCAAGTAAAATTTCTGACACAGAGCTGGGTGGGCCCATATCAAAGCTGGGCTCAGCGTGGCCCTTCAGCTCTTCACTTGTTTTAATCGGCGTCATGTCCATGGGTTGGCAATCAAGAGATTGCATCTCCTCAGTATCTGTGGAAGAAAAAAACCAAAGATTGCCTTGGTTATCAATACTTTCATATAATGGAGTCAGGTCAATTCCTGATCATGTGAGCTCTCCAAAATATTTCCTCTAAGCAATAAGATGAATATGATAAAACCACTGAATGGAAAAAAATAGGAAGGGACTCATGGTACACGCCCTCAAGCCCTAAATCTAAACTCACCCTTATCAAATTAGCTACATCTACCTAGGTTTGAATGGCACAAGTTTCTAGGCTCATGGGGATTTCTACTAGTCATATTTTGTGATGTTCTTTTTAAACTAATTTGCTTTGCATCCATCATCTTCTTTAATCCTTAAAGCAATCGTAAAATTCAGATATTCCTTCCTCCCATATTATACAGCTATGAGCCTGAGTGACAGAATAACTGCCAAAGACAGGGCCACTACTCAATGATGGCACAGGGTTCTAGCTGCCAGACAATTGTATGACAGCAGAGCAAGTGCTTTGCTCCTCAGTGATGCTGCTTCATTTCACACCCTTTCTAAGAGCATTGGAAACGTGGGATGCTTCAGGTACCGCAGCGTGTCAAAGGAGCCGGATATAAAGCAGGCAATACTGTGAGCCTCTTAAATGAGTTGCAATCTGGACGTAGTAATGATATGTTGAGAGCACTTCAAGAAGTTTATGGAAGAAAGAATTTTAAATTATGACTGCATGTTGATCAAAATATGTTCACATGATGTCAAAAATACATATTATGAAAAATTATACATTGATTTGAACATGTTTTGTGCCATCCGCCTGACATTTTAATTCCCTGTTTCCATAGAATTTGTGAGATACTCTCATATGAAAAGGCCCCATTTAAATTAGGTTAGAAAATGAATCCACACAATGGATCACAGCATGATGTCTCTCAAGCAGTTATGATTTGAAGAAGCAATTCTGTAAGTTAGGGACCTCTTCTTATCTCTTCTTTGCTCTCAACACTTTATGAAACTGCTCCTGAACAGGAGCACAACGGGCTGAGCCCACTCCTTAGTCATACTCTGGCCCCCTCATCTGTAGGGATGGCAACTTCAGGCAGCTTAATGGATAACCCACATTTGCAGTCGGTGTCCTTGGCTGTGTGCAGTGATCCTCTACGGTCTTGTGCCTTGTGACATCTGACCAAGTGAACCAAAGTGATTTCTAACTTATCAGCAGTCCCTGCAAAATGAATGCTGATCAAGAGTCACTTTTCAAAGAAAAGGTGATCAGTAACAAACAGCTGGGTTCAAGGGATTTATTGCTGAAGTGTGCATGCCTTCTCAATAAGATATCTTAACATTTTCTCAAGTAATCCCCTTAGAGCAAACACTATAAAATTCAACTGTGGAGCCAAGGTGTAGCCTGATAGATGGCTGTCCTCCATAATCGGACTTAAACACACATCTACTGGCCACTTCAAGGGTACTGAGTGTATCACCTTGTGCATACACATGAGGGCAACTCTCCTGGTGCTAAGAAAGATCAAGAGGGCTCCTGGCTCTGTTGCCACTTCAGGGTACCAGTCTGAATTAGAGACTACTTAGCAGAAGTTTTGGTTCATATAAGCCCTGACCAAAGTAATTTCAGTTCTCACTCATCTGACCCAAAGCAGCCTGGACATCATTTGACTCAATCCTAATACTGCATCCAGTTTAGTAGTCTCTAGAAAAGATGCAGGCATGAAAAATGTCAGATCTACCTAGAATTCATTCCTGTGCCATTTTCAAAGAAGAGAAAGAAGAAAGAAGAAAGTCAATGCCTTATTAATTCCAAGGGCCTATTTCTGTATGTAACATGGTGCAAAGTTTTGTTCAAATTTTACGTTAGTACATAGCTTGTCCAGTTTAATGCAACCTGATGTACCTACACTTAAGGACACACAATTGTCCCATGGTCAAGCTTCAAGTTGATTGTATAACCGAGATTCATACAAAAGAACTGTTCAGCTGAGTCTTCATTAAAGTACTAACGTGCGTCATCAATGATGTGTCACAAATGATGTGTGTTATGGAATCATTCTATTGCATCCATAAGAAACATATACATTATGATAAACAACTAGGTATATGAATATTTCTAAATATGGTAGAAATGGAAAAATGGAATAGGCATTTTATCAAATATGTCTGAGGAAGTTCTAAATGTTTGTGGAAATGCAATTTAAACTTTATTTTTATTCAAGCACTTTTAAATGCATAATGCATGAATAGATGTCATATGAAGCACATTTCATTAACTTTGCACAATAATGTATTCATACCAACTTGTTACAACATGTCTCAACAGGATAGTTTCAGACACCTGCAAGGTTATGGCATCCTTATTCAGCAAATATTGATGTAATAACTACTACCAGGTTTATATTGAAGCATGGGCTGAATGCTGGTGGACTCACTGATGCTTTATGAAAAAGTGATGAGGACAATGTCCTGAAAAAAAAATCAGCAGTTTGCAAACTTTAAGGAGTGACAACAGGATGTTAATGATGAAGCCTGCAACAACATACCATCTACAAAAATTTGCACTTGCCCTGATGGAAGAGAACTGACTAGTAGCAGCAGAACTTTAGAAAACACCACTGACTTGGGGCCAGTGCTGTGGCGTAGCAGGTAAAGTTACCACCTGCAGTGCCAGCATCCCATATGGGTGCTGGTTTGAGTCCTAGCTGCTCCACTTCTGATCCAGCTCTCTGCTATGGCCTGGGAAAGCAGTGGAGGGTGGCCCAAGTGCTTGGGCCCCTGCACCCATGTGGGAGACCCGGAGGAAGCTCCTGGCTCCTGGCTCCTGGATACTGGCTTTGGATCGGTGCAGCTCCAGCCATTGCAGCCATTTGGGGAGTGAACCAGTGGATGGAAGATCTTTCTCTCTCTCTGCCTCTCCTTCTCTCTCTGTGTAACTCTGATTTTCAAATAAATAAATAAATCTTTAAAAAAAAAAAAAGAAAACACCATTGACTTCTCAGAAGGGACTAGTTTCACAATTAATGCCTGAAAAGTGAGTGATGAACTAAAGATAAATGATCTAAAAACACGATGAAAAGTGCCTTCTCTTAGTTGAAAGAACCTCCTGGCTATCCTTTTACCAGAAATTTGGTTATTATTGGATGGAATGTGTGGCCTTAATTTAAACTCAGAGAAAGCCTGCAGACACTTTGAGGAAATAGTCCTTAACACAGTGATAAAGGAAATGAAGCAAAAGCAAAATCCAAGGTAGTGATGGAGATTCAAATCTCAGAGATTAGAACATAGAGGACAGAGAGCAAGGTGGGCCTTAACATTTTTGAGAAAGTAGTTATTGAGTTAATGTTAATGAAAGCATAGCAAAAACAAAAGACACAGTAATAGGGATTCTTATCTTCATAACTCATAAAATGGACAGCAGAGAGCTGGGTAGACTCGTACCATGCGTGGCCTTGTCACCTTCCCCAACTTGTGCCTCCTCATCAGTCTCCATTCTTGAGCAGGGCTCCAGAGGTGTCTGCAATTCCTCTGTTAAGAGAAAAACAAACAGTTGCCTTAGTCTCAGATACCAGACTCAACCTCTGGTATTGGGACAAAAAAATTACTAAATACATGCACTGCTTCCTCATGATAAGTATTTTCTTAAGTTTTTAAGCATCATGAAAAAAAGTTCATGAAAATACACATTATGAAAAAACGATGCATGGGTTTAAAAATGATTTTGACCAAAATAAATATATGGATTCCATCTTTATATTTTATTTTTAACTTTAAATACCATCTTTGAATGAAATATTTGAAGTCCCCTTGCATAAAGGAAAAGGGGAGATCAGATGGGATGAGCTGGCAACACGACAAACGCTCATCCAGTGTCCAGCTGAGAGTCAATCATAGAAAGACATGAAGCTACAAAGTTGTCTTAAATTACAATGTTTTGTGTCCAGTTCTATACCAGGAAATTCAGTTCTTTCTGGAGAGAAGCTGTGAGAAGCAGTGAGAAAAATCTTGCAGATATTTTTGGAAAAGTTCTTAGTGTTATATTAAAGGAAGCAAGGAATAACAAGAGTCATAATAACAGTGCAGATTCTAATCTTCAGTGATTTAGAAAATAGAAGACAGAGAGCTGGATGGGCCCATACCAGTCATGGATCTGAGGTCTTCCTCTAGGTGATCTGTGTAATCAGTATCTATGCTTGAAATAGGGGTGGACGTCCTAAGCGGTACCAGTTTATCTGTGGAAAAGAAACCAAAAGGTTGTCTAAATTTTTGTTGTCTAAAAATTTGTATGAATATTCTCAGATTCCAGACTCATGTCAATTTCTGATATTGATATGATAAGTTTTGAATCTGTTTATCTATTAGTCATAACACATATTCCATGAATGTTTTGAGGCTTCATGGGAAAAATGTATTAAAATATATTTTGTGAGAAAATGATGTATGGATTTGAAATTTTTGGCCAAATAAACTCCGGTTTCCAATTCTAACTTTATACTTTTTTATTTTTATCTCTGAGTACATTTCTGCAGGAAATGTTCCCTTAGGTAAAAGAGAAGGGAAAAAAGATCCAATAGGGTGATCTGGTAATTTGGAAATTGCTCATTCAGTGTTCAGCTGAGAACCAATAATCAAAAGCCATGAAGCAAAAAAGGTTGTCTTAGTTTAAGGTGCCCCATGTCCAGTCCTTTATCATGGAGTTCAATTCTTTCCTTACAGAAATGGAAGATTTCATCCAAAGTAAGAAACATCTTGCAAAGCTTTTTAAAAAGAAGTTATTGGTGTATTGTTAAGGGGAGTTCAGGAAACATCATAGTGGTTAAGTAATTATGGAAATTCTAACCAAGTAAAATCTCTGACACAGAGCTGGGTGGGCCCATATCAAAGGTGGGCTCAGCGTCACCCTTCAGCTCTTCACTTGTTTTAATCGGCGTCATGTCCATGGGTTGGCAATCAAGAGATTGCATCTCCTCAGTATCTGTGGAAGAAAAAAACAAAGATTGCCTTGGTTATCAATACTCTCATATAATGGAGTCAGGTCAATTCCTGATCATGTGAGCTCTCCAAAATATTTCCTCTAAGCAATAAGATGAATATGATAAAACCACTGAATGGAAAAAAATAGGAAGGGACTCATGGTACATGCCCTCAAGCCCTAAATCTAAACTCACCCTTATCAAATTAGCTACATCTACCTAGGTTTGAACGGCACAAGTTTCTAGGCTCATGGGGATTTCTACTAGTCATATTTTGTGATGTTCTTTTTAAACTAATTTGCTTTGCATCCATCATCTTCTTTAATCCTTAAAGCAATCGTAAAATTCAGATATTCCTTCCTCCCATATTATACAGCTATGAGCCTGAGTGACAGAATAACTGCCAAAGACAGGGCCACTACTCAATGATGGCACAGGGTTCTAGCTGCCAGAACAATTGTATGACAGCAGAGCAAGTGCTTTGCTCCTCAGTGATGCTGCTTCATTTCACACCCTTTCTAAGAGCATTGGAAACGTGGGATGCTTCAGGTACCACAGCGTGTCAAAGGAGCCGGATATAAAGCAGGCAATACTGTGAGCCTCTTAAATGAGTTGCAATCTGGACGTAGTAATGATATGTTGAGAGCACTTCAAGAAGTTTATGGAAGAAAGAATTTTAAATTATGACTGCATGTTGATCAAAATATTTTCACATGATGTCAAAAATACATATTATGAAAAATTATACATTGATTTCAACATGTTTTGTGCCATCCGCCTGACATTTTAATTCCCTGTTTCCATAGAATTTGTGAGATACTCTCATATGAAAAGGCCCCATTTAAATTAGGTTAGAAAATGAATCCACACAATGGATCATAGCATGATGTCTCTCAAGCAGTTATGATTTGAAGAAGCAATTCTGTAAGTTAGGGACCTCTTCTTATCTCTTCTTTGCTCTCAAGACATTATGAAACTTCTCCTGGACTGTGTAAGTCTTGAAAAGGTAGATATAGTAAATTCGTGGGCATTACAACATTGTTCTTGGTACTGGCCCTGAGCTCTAGAACGGACACTGTGTAAGCCTCTTCTCTCACACCTGGTGCCTTGTTATCTGTTTCTCAGCAAATCTAGTGTCCCAGGTGGAGGACCTCCCATGTTCTCATGGAGATCCCAGAGAGCTCTCACCCACAATGGTGTCTCTTTCCTCTGAGACAGTATTGCAATTCATGGCATTCTCCCCAGTATTGTTGCAGAAAATCAAGGCGCTCTTCCGCAAGACTGAATTGGTGGCATCCTTAAATATCTCAGCACAGTTTTCTATTAGAAAGTATGTGAGTGAAATCTGTGACACAAAGGGTGAAAATAAGGTATTCTTTTTAATGTTACATAGCCATAAATCACGTTATATGTGAATTTTAACATTATAAGAAACATGAAATCAGAATTATGAGAAAAATTCAGAATTATATAAAATTATATAAAAATTATATAAACTAGTTTTCTCTCAGAAATAACAATTATTTTCTCTAGAATATTGGTAACTAGGGATTCACAGAATTGCTAACATTTTCATATCAATGACTTCACCATAAATATAATTTCAATATCATCCACAAAGGAAACTTGGGGTGAAGATATATGTTTGCATGGTAAAATCTGTAAAGTAGCCAGTATACAAAGACTTGTGAAATGCACTGCCCCAGTGATATACCTTAAACTTGGAAGGCAGAAATTCTCAGTGAATCCTTGGACAAGAAAGGAGTCAGCTACAAACAGAACTTCTGCTTGACTAGGCTTCCTGTAGCCTTGCTCTGTCTCCCCTCAGCCTTACATTGAGAGGGAGCTCGGGGAAGAACTGTGTCTGCATTTGGAATGCTGTGGCTCTCTTAGGATGCTCTGCATTCTATGACTAGTTTCCAGTGCCAGCAGCAGAGAAGATATAGACAAGCATTTCTCTGGATGAGCCACAGCTGGCAGAGCAAGGTCATGGTGTGTGGAGCTAAGTGTGCTCATTTTGTGCAAGCAAACAAGGCAGTGTCACTGACAGCCAGGAGAGACAGATGCTATCCCCACTGCCATTGTTCAGCTGAGAAAACCCTGGTGTAGAAACCTGGCTCAAATGTACACAACCTTCAACAATGAGAATTAGAGTTGTTGCACCTTGATTTGTCCAACAAACCCCAGGTTCCTTTCTATCATATTGCATGAGTTCCTACTCTCTCCATGGGTTAGTCAAATCACTGTTCTGTCTCCTGAAAGGGAAAAGAGAAGTGACTCACTGCTATCTTTTTCCTACTTCACATGCTGCCCTCCCGTAGCTCCCAGGATAGGATAAATGAACTTAACACTCCAGAGCAGTGTCACTAAAATGTTCATTTTAAAAAATGGTCTTTCAGAATTCATATCCTGAATTTCAGGTTCCAAAGAGGACCCTGCTCCTTGAGGGCATAAAGATGAGACATCTAATTACCTTCTTCCTTAATTCATCTGCTACCTCTGAGCTTCTGGAAGTTGCATGCCAGAGGGAAAGAATGCTTGGGGCAAGACACAATGATAAGTCTGAGGTAGTCATAAGTTTGAATGTAGACTGTTGAACAATTTTGTTTAGGGACCCAAACAGGCACTTCAGGATAATAAAATTGGCTTTCGGCAGCTGGGCTAAGAGCCTAAACACAGAAAATGCAGTCATTTTCTTCAACAACTTGCGTATACAAAGGAAATAGGGCACTTTGAATACCTTTAACACAACACAATGAAAATACAGAAAAGGAAACAACGTGTCTAAAAATCACTGCCTGCAGTTTTGGTGAAACCATAGCAATGTGCTTTAACTGCGGCAAACTTTCTGAATACTTAAGTAAACATAAGTTAATTAAAAAAAAAAACACTGTTGCATGCCATATGTGTTGCACTGAAAGTTTACTGTTGAAATTAAACAGCAAGCAAATTGAAAGCACTACCTTCTTTTTAAAGGTAGTAGCACAGGAATGCTGCCTCATGACAAGAGTCCAGTGCTATAATTTAACAGACTCAGTCCAGGAACAAACACATACAAAAATGTTGCATTGTACACCGCATATAGACCTCTCTGCTCAGCTAGCTCTTGGATTATGTTTAGGTCAGAACACTGATAAATTGGTCTTATCTCTTGGACCAATGGTATTCCTCCCATATCAATGTCACAAATTCAGAAGGCATACAATGGTGAAGGACTCCATATCAATAACATTAGGAGAGAATTAAGAACTAAATGACGGCCAGTGCCGCGGCTCACTAGGCTAATCCTCCGCCTTGCGGTGCCGGCACACCGGGTTCTAGTCCCGGTTGGGGCGCCGGATTCTGTCCCAGTTGCCCCTCTTCCAGGCCAGCTCTCTGCTGTGGCCAGGGAGTGCAGTGGAGGATGGCCCAAGTACTTGGGCCCTGCACCCCATGGGAGACCAGGATAAGTACCTGGCTCCTGCCATTGGATCAGCGCGGTGCGCCGGCCGCAGCGCACTGGCCGCAGCGGCCATTGGAGGGTGAACCAACAGCAAAGGAAGACGTTTCTCTCTGTCTCTCTCTCTCTATCCACTCTGCCTGTCAAAAAAAAAAAAAAAAAAAAAAAAAAAAAAAAAAAAAAAAAAAAAAAAAAAAAAAACTAAATGACAGCGGCAAAGCCTATATCTTTTTTCATTCTGGCTTTCACCTGTGTGACCAATGAGACCCTTTCACATTGTTCTTTTGTTTAGCAGATAGAGCTCTAAAGCAGAACTAGCATTTTTTTGCATGCTGTGTAGGTTGTCATTGTGAAGCAGTTAAAGTACAGTAATTATGGTATCAACACCTCTGAATCGCAGGTACTTTATTCTCGTCCTCTTTCTCCAATACATCAAGCCACTGGTCATACAGCTTGGCTGAAAATATAGTTCCTGGCAGGCTTCGAAGAAAATCCTTATAGAATTTAAAAGATAAGTCACATTAATTTGATGCCAAATATATATGAGGTTAATTACAAAGAAAATATTTAATTGAAATATTCAGTTTAATCCCAACTCTCTTCTTAGACATCCAAACTATGACCTCCAATTCTCTGAAGGGCTCATGTGGAAATGGGCTCAAACTTTCTTCTGACTAAAGCTAGAAGCAAAAAAGAAGAGGATAGGAAGTTCTGGGAGTGAAGAAAAAGTCTCCTCTTCCTGTCTGAATCATCTTGTTTGTACATTCTAGCAAACTCATTCAAACCTAGAGTCTGGTTCTGCATCACCCTCAACCCTAGCATTTCCCCAAAAGTATAGAAAAATGCCTGGTTTACATGTTTATTTCAGACCCAGTACTTTTAAACCTTAACAACAAAGGTTCTTAATCAAATGAACTAAATATACAAACGCATGCACTCATTTACAATGTTAAGTGAGGATTCAAGCTTCCGATGGCAGTTATGTGTTGTTCTTAGGGGAAAACTCCCTAACAACCTCACTCTAGATGTCTTTCACACCTTAACATTTAATGCTCTCAACATGAAAGCAGAGGATTGTGGAATATGCATTTCCAAATTCCCAATAGGTGGGTAGACTCTTCAGAATGAATCCCTTGTGTTGGAACATATATGCCCTCTATACAAGGGAATCATACAACTTAATCAAACCACCAGTCTAGGACTTAGAGTATTTGGGCTACAAAGGAAGGCTTCTTAACTGATGCCTCAGAATATTGGTCACATCATGTGGCTGATGAACAAGTCTTACCACTGTAAAGTCAGTCCTTCTCCTACACTTCATGAAACAGTCACATTTTTTGGACAACAGTGAGGGCAGGCTGTCATACTGCCATGCCAGCTTTCCTTCCATTGGTCTCACTATAAGCCTCAAGACTCTCAATAGCAATGAATATAGAAAATGCATTACAACAACTACTGCAATTGTAATCCAGCAATATTTCACTAACTCTAAAATTTATTGAGCCGCTCCTTTTGCCACACATAGTTTGACTACAGCAAATAGAACAGTGAAGAAAATGGACAAAATCTCAGGCCTCTTCTACCTTGACTAAGTCATTGGTGTGCAGTACCCTCTTCTGGTACTTAGAGTCATTCACTGTGTTTTCCAGGGAGTAATCCTTATTTGTGTGGAGAGAGAAAGCTTCCAGCTGTGGCTGGATGTGGGAGTCTAGAAGGACTCAGGAGTACCTTTGTCTGTTGTGTACTGAACTGTCATGCACTTGGAGCTTGTGATTTTCTGTGCTGCAGAGTCAGTTGATAGGGCTTGTTTTGAAAATGGCATTTTGTTCTTTGCCTTCTGCTTGTAGACAGCTCAATGACAAATTCAATTCGGTCCTGATCAAATATTTCTGTCTAGTCTGGACCACCTCTCCAGGTATTACCCATGGTATTTCCCAAGGATTAGATTTTGAAGCCTTCAATGGGGTTTCTCTACATCTTGCTGGAAAGTGACATGAATCTCATGTATGTCCCCTAGTATATATTGCTATGATCTGAGTGTAGTGTTTGTCACCTATAAGTCATCAGTGGCCTATTGCTATTTCTCATATGACCAAACATGGAGGATGAGGAAAGACCAAATGTGATACAGATTCTCATAGGTTTTGAAGGCCCATTTGTAGACATTATCATGTTAACATATTTTCCATAGCTGTTAACAAAATTCAAGTATGTGGAAGGGTTCAATTCTTTCTCTTTGTTATTATTTTCCCTTTTGCAAGTGTTCCTGGATATTTAGAATTTTTGCATCTTTTGAAACCTACCTATATTTTACATTGATTATATTTTCAGAATTCTAACCCAATTTTGACTGCTGCATCAACTTTCAAATTCAGATTTCTGAGATGTGCCTGGAGCTACAGGTGGATTACTGTTCAAATACAACTGTGACTATTGGGCTAAGCCCAATCCAAAAAACAAAGTATACCAAAGGTGATCAAAGTGAAGTCAAGTACAATGTCAGAGTCCTTTGTCCACCACATTCTTTTAAAAAGGCATAAAAGACAAGGGAAATGATTGAAGATTTTCTTTGCATCTATGTGCATTTGTTGGTTCATTGTATGGCAAATGTTTGCTGACCATCAAAAACTTCTAAGCATGGAGTGTTCAGAGAGGTCAGAGTTTGAAGAAAAAGGAAAATTTATCTGACATACAATATTTACACAATGAAGGGAGTAGCAACCTGCTACAATTTTCTGTTTCTTGGGTATTCCATCTATTAAACCTATTGAGCCTTGGAGTAGTCATGAAGAATGAAACCATCCACATACCTCCATGTTGTGCATACATGATGCTAGAACTCTCCCTACCTGTAATACAGTGGCTGCCACAAGAGCAGATTCATTGCTCCAGTCAACTGTACCTCTGGAACTTATTTTTTGCTTCAGGGCTGAATAAGATGCTACGCTGCCTGGTTTTCTGAATATTTCCTCTGCCTGTGGTCCTTTGTCAATGATAAGGTAAAGTAAATCCTATGGCAAATAAAAAGGAGAACAGAGATAGGACATTCCAGATCCAGAAGCCTTGAACAAAGGCTTATTTCCATTTATTTTCACAATACTGTTATATTAATACAAAGAGATTCAATGTAGTTCACAGATACAATTCCAAGAATATAAAGATGCTTCCCTCTCTCCCCTTCCTCTAAATCCACTCACTTAAGCTCTCTCCCCACCTTTCATCCCTACTTTCTTTATTTTCTTTATTTCTTTCCAATTTAGACAAAAACAGCAAGAGTGTGTGAGGGGACACTGAGAGAGCTGACAGGAATGAAGGGAATAGTTTTGGGATCTCTGAATACATTTTTAACACTTTCATCTGAAGAACTTCAACATGCTTTAATCATATTTTCTTTTTCAGTGCACTGAACTTTTAAATCAAACTTCTCTGATTCAAGCTTCTAATGAACCACTCTATTTACCATGCTTTTCTCAGTACTTCCAAATATCCTTGATCTTGCCCACATAGGGAAACTTAGCTGTCACACTTATTTATCATTGGTTTACTATGCTTCAGTGACTGTGACCCATTCCTACTTCCTGTAGTCCCCTGTACTCATTAAAATCCAGGCTGAAAATCCATCTCTTCTCTGAATCTATCTCTGATTGCTTTCTCTACTCACCAGATTTTCATTTCCTATTGCTCCAACTTCATGCCGATGGGAGAAGGTAAAGGATTTTCAGGGTCAGGTATTCTAAGAATTTTTAATCTACTAGCTCAGTCATTTTCACTCTAACCTTGGGCATTGCACACAACCTTAACTAATACTTTCCTTTTATCCACTGTTGATGTCTGGATGATGATCCTAGCAACTCCTTAAACTTGTTGCAAATGCTACAAGGTCTGGACAACATTTAACATGGAACTAACATGACAAACTCCTTCCCACCTAGCATAACACTCCCTACATTTAGTAGAGTACATGGGGGTACTGGACAATCAACAAATATGGTGATTATGAAGTATACTAACTGGAAATAAAATGGGCCACATTCTCACATGATAGAAGCATGAATATATGCCAAAGGATGTATGAAAGTATTTGAGCTACAAATAGAATACCTGTGAGATATGCCGAGTAGCAGGATTGAGTCATTTGGATGAGGAGGAAGCAATGAAAGAACACTTAAAACTAGTGCAGAGTCCAAGGAAGAGGCTTAAAGAGAATGTGAGGGTGAGGTGGACACAGTGATTCAGACACACATAGCCCTTTGTGGTTTTTCTGATCAGTTGTATGTGGATTTTAGCTGATGTCAGTGGAACCAATAAGAATATCATTTTTTTGCTTTTGTGTCTGACTGTGAAATCTAAATCTGATTTTCCTTCCTTGAAGTAATAGTAACAAAGCATCTTGGCCAAAGGCAGGGGCTGACACAAGGTTTCCTCATTTGGAAACAGAATAACAGGAGGACACCTAACCCTCAACATTCCTGTCCTTGGGAGGGTTGTAGAAGATTGAAGTGAGACCTACTGAAAGTGGGCTAGTCAGTTTTTCCTTCCTAGACAGTGCCATGAGGGAGGCTTTACGGAACTGGACTGGCAAAGGAGCTGCTGAAGAGTGTCCCTTGGTCAGATCATCCCGGCTTTTGCTCTTGTTCCGCCTGAACAGTCGGGTTATGCACCCACCTGGAGAGGAAAGGAGGTTATTAGAGTAGATGAGTGAATTAGATTCTAGTTTCCACCATTTCTATTTTACAGATATTTTTGGCCATAGTTAGAGAAAAGAGAGAAGTTGCATTATTTATTGTGTAGAAACTCCTACATTCTGAAATTGGCCAATTGCATTCATGTGGTATTAATGAATTCTTTCCCATTTCCTGTAAACTTGTAGATAGGGAGCACATATTTAGCCTAGTGGTTAAAAGCCCAAGTCCCATATCAGAGTAACAGTTTGATTTCCAACTCTTCCTCTTGATTCCAGATTTTTCCAAATGCAGACCCTGGGAGGGAGGCAGCACTGATGACTCAGAGGTTTGAAGACACTCAGATTCAGTAGAAGATGGCCCAAGTCATTGGGTCCCTGTGCCAACCTAGGGAGACCTAGAAGAAGCTCCTGGATCCTGGCTTCAGATCAGCAGAGCTCTGGCCATTGTGGCCATCTAGGGAGTGAACCAGTGCATGGAAGACCACTGCCCCCCCCCTTCTCTCTGTGTGTAACTCTGACTTTCAAATGAATGAATAAATCTTAAATAAAAAAGAAAGTCAGTTATTGCCACCATATTTCTCATTTTCCTAACAAGTTTCTCAGCAGAGATACATCTATAAAAAGAACACTGGAATGGTAGTAGGAAAATGGAAAGCAGGAAGCTCAGAAAACCCTAACCACAAAGATTCCGTCTGGGTCAATTCTAGATTTATGTCTGAAGCAGATGTGTAAAGTCAGCTTGCTGTGGGCTTATTCAGAGCCCATTCAAGGGGCCACCATTGAGATATAACTGGTTAAGCTGCTGCCTGAGATACTGCATCCCAATGGCCACTGGTTCAAGTCCTGGCTGCTTGACTTCCCTTCTAGCTCCCTGCTAATGCACCAGGGAAAGCAGCAGAATATGGTTCAGGTCCTTGGGCCCCTACACCCAAGTGGGAGACACAGGTGAAGCTCCTCACTCCTGACTTTGGCCTGAACAAGCCCTGGCTGTTGGGGCCATTTGGGGAGTGAATCATGGGATGGAAGCTCGCTCTCTCTCTCTCTCTCTCTCTCTCTCTCTAACTCTGCTTTTCAAATAAATAAAATAAATCTTTAAAAAGGACTCAGGCTGCAACCCCTCAGCTACTTCAGCCCAAGGCAGAACAGATCCCAGTTCAACTGCACAAATCTTTGCTCTCCTAGAGATCTTCCACTTAGAGTGTGTCTAAGTCACTCAGTAAATTGATCACCTGCTGCTCTCAGCCGAGATTCAGAGTGAAACCCGGGGATGGGAAAGTCATGACTTCTCAGAAGCTGTGCTGTAATGCGACATAGGTGGGTATAGGCACAATTATGTACAGAAAATACCCAGGGCATCCAGAGAAGACTAAAGACCTAACACAGAAGAATGAAGACAAACTTCCTGGACCAGAGTTTGGTCTTTGAATGGATTCTGTAAGCCTGAATTTGCATGGGCATAGGGTTTCTGTCTCTACTGTACACCCCCTGCTCCCTCATGGAGACGAGCTTTGGGTCATGTATTTCTTACCAGGGATGTGACCTGAAAGAAGGAAGTTGCTGAAAAGGAAAGGACTCACCACTCTTGCACTGGCCTGTGGCCTGGCACCTGGGTTTCAGAATGAAGCAGCCACGTACATCTGAGTACAACTCTTCCAAGACAGATTCTTGGAAGCTGGGAAGAATGGTAGAATTCTCAGATGCAGGTGATGGGTGTGCAGCTCGAAGGTAGGTTGTTTGAATCATGTATATATTTTCATGACCTATGCAGAGAAAAATGTCAGTATAGATCAGGCTGATGGGGATTATCAAACATGCCTTGTCATCAGCATGGGTACCACACTAGGGCCTGCTGAAGTTCTCCTGGGGCTTTGGGAAAGAAGAGGGCTGTCTTGTGAGTGAGCATCATGCAAACTCTCTGAAGAGACACCACATAAAGCAGGTGTCCCTGTAAGGAACTTTTCAAAAGTACAGAGAACAAAAGTGCAAACCTGTTGCCTAGCTTGGATGTGCATTCCATGTTGGTGACATCTGCTGTTTCCATCAGAAAATATATAAGGCCTCCTGGTTTTCTGCCTTGACACCAACTAGATTTTTATGTCTCTTGCAAGTTACTTGACCCCACTATGATTACCTTCATCATTTTCAATCCTTAACCTCCCTTGTCACATAAATTTCTAAATGCAAATGCGTGAAGAAACATCAGTGGTTAACATTCTGTGAATTATTAGACCATACATGTCATGAGTTGTTGTCATCAATAATCCCTCCCCTGTGCTGGCAATAGAGAGACTTCATTTCATGTTGTTAGCTCTATAGTCAGGACTGCTCAAGACCAGTGGGGCCATGGTTTGCTGTGACAATTTCCTCTCAGGGGCCCTCCCAGCTAACTAGCCAAGGGAAGGTGACAGGGTGTTGGAAACCCAGAGGCATTGTGCAAAGCACTGTTTCCAGAGTATAAGCCCAATCATTTATTTTGCTCTTACATCCTTAAAATTGCTGGTGACCCAAGAAATTCTCAGAGATTCTGTAATAGGGGGTTGGTATTTATCACAAAAGTGAAGATGCCCATGGTGATTCCTGTGTCCCGCATTGAATTGCCTGGGTCTGATCCCTGTCCATAGTTCCTAATTTCAGCCTTCTGCTAATGCAGATCTTGGGAGGCAGACATGATGGCTTGAAAAACTGGATTCCTGCCACTCATATGGGAGAACTGGATTGAGTTTCTGGTTCCTGGCTTCTGGCCCCTTCCTCAGGTGCAGCTTAGCACTTACTCAGTCTCTCCTGACTCTCTCCACCTCTCAGAAAATAAATTTTAAAAATTTAAATATCCTGTGTCTTAATATGTATATTTTGATATTTTATTAATTTTCTATAAAGGCATAGTTAGAGAGAGGAGGTGGAAAGAGATATCTTCCATCTGCTGGTTCACTCCCCAAATGGCTGCAATGGCCGGGGCTGGGCTAGGTCTATCTATCTTAGGAGAAGTATAATCCTTTTATCAATGACCTTGAGATCAAATGCTACAAAACTCAAGCTTACAGGCTTTTCTATCAGAAATGTGATTATTTTGATTTTCTTATTACACTGATAAACATTCTGGGCATAGATCTGGCATTTAACAAATCTTACCAATAAGAGGCTGTGGAGCCTCTTCATTTGCAGAGTTGACCAGGAGCTGGTAGTTTTGCTCAGAGCCCTTCGAGAAAAAAGAATGAAGGATCACAACAAATCTTCATAAGTACATACCTGCAGGACTTATTTACTTAATGTTTCCACATTTCCAAAAAAGAAAAGGACTGGACCAGTGTAAACGCTATACCATCCATTGGGCTGACCATAATTTTTGAGCAGCAAGACTGGTTTGTTTAAGTACCTCCTGTCCCTCTTAGAACCTCCAGGAATCTACCCCACATTTTTGCTGTATCGCTGTGGAACCACAGTGTAGTTGGCCGGTTGCTTTCTGTGAGCTCCATGGAATGAGAAATCACATTTATGCCTTTTCAAAAATCTGATCCTGAGAATTCTAGCTTCTGCTACCTCCAGTTTCTTTAGAGAATATTGCATTTACCTTCACATATCCTTGTCCACACAACCCTTTTGCCTATGGAGTCACACACCTGCCATGACTATGCTTAAACCAAATAACACTTGGAGGATATCATCAGATATCTTGAAAGAACAGAATGTCAGCCCACTGGCTTCCATTCAGACAAGCCTCATTCTGGAGACAAAAGGGACAAAGATTCTAATCTGAGGAACAGGTCAGGTCCAGGAAACAATCCCCCTAGCAACTCTGGAAATACCAGTTGAAACAAGCACACCTATACTGTGTATCTGTTAAATTACTTTCGTGTCTTCCAAAGGAGAGTAAATCAAAAACATGATTCAAATGGACTTAGTGTTGAATGCTAGTATGATTGCTCTTGATTCCTGCTGAGAACACAAGACCTTGACATTACACAGTATCCTGGACAAGAAGGCTATCTCACACATGCATGCACACACACAAACACACAGACGCAGCATAATATTCTCAAAATTGTTCTGCCAATAGAAAGTGAGACCTCAGGAAAGTCTTTCTCTTTAAGGTAGGAGTTGAAAATCTTCTGTTGGAATACCCTGACTTAGACATAGAAAAACTCATTGTCAAAATGGAATTATTTCTTGTCTGATGACACCAGTCGCTTCAACAAAGGAAAATACTGCATACTAAAGAAAATGAACTATGTTTTTTAAACCAATGTCCTGTGACCCACTCCCATAACAACTCACTCTGTTCCAAAATTGGATTGCATTCCTGGCTCCAGGCTTCAGCTCCAGAACACCCCGGTGCATAGTGTGCATTCAGGCACTACACCAATGAGTTGGACTTCTCTATACAAGCTTCTTTCTCTCTGTTTTTCTCTCCATACATCTCTGCCATTATCTGTCTGTCTCTCTCTCTGTGTACATGTCTTTTTGAAAATATATTAGTCACAAAAAATCAAGGTTGCTATTTAAAAGTGGCTTTTAGTTACTTACAGTTAATCCTAGTACTGGTAGTGATAGATTGATGACATCATTTGCTGTGTCTAAATTGGTTACTGTCACAATTATAGACTGTAAAAGGAAAAGGAGAAAAACATTGCTGAAATGGAAGAATTTTGGAGCATATGACAAAATTATTATCAATTGTTATCCATATGTTAAACACAAAGTTTCCTTTTAAGGCTAACAAAGTACAAAGTAGAGCACTGGTCCTTAGTTAGAATTTATTATCATTCCTTTATATAACAGGAAGCCAATAGAAAGAATTTCAGTAAAGCATATAATTCTTTTTAAATAAAGAAGTTATGACACTCAAAATAAAACAGCTTAGGTGATAAAAAGAAATGCTGCAAATGCTGAGAGGGCATCTATTTTAGTGCCATAACTTCTCACATGTTCATTTCTAGTCCCTTAAGAACTGGCTATCACAGGCACTCTTGTTTGACCAACCAGAGTGGAAGGAGCACTTTTATCTGAGTTAATCACCAAACTTATGGAGACAATAGATCCAGGGCTTACAACTGAACATTCTAGAAATTGAAGTTTCAGTCCCAGCTCTGCCAGTCAAGAAAGGATCTAAAACAGCTCTCTATTGCCCTCACATTCATGGACACCTCTATGGAAACCAGAGATGATTTGCAGAAAAATCACATGAATAGTGTTTGTGAAATCAAATCTAGAGTTCACTAGATACTACACAAGGCATTGATTTTAAATAAGATAATACAGAAGCAAGAGCATGTATCATGGATGTAGTTGGAGAAATCAGACAAATCCATAATGAGGTCTGGGTCCTCTGATAAGTGATGCTTAAAGAGAATAAATAAATAGCAAAATTGGACTCTCACAGGCCTTAAGTATATTAAAACAAACTGGGTAGAAATTTATTTCTAATTTATTTCTTTCCTTTGAATTCTATCGTTTGTCATTACAAACTGCTTGATATAACCAAGAGTCCAGAACATTATTCACTGGATTTTTTTGAACAAGGACATCTTAGATTCATCATTTTCAGACTGTAGCCCTGAGGGTTATGAAAAATGTGTCTGAGAAATAATAATAGAACTCAGGTCACCCAAACTCAGGGGTGTCAGGAGTCCTGCACTAAAACATCTAGAAAGGTGCAAACTCGAGCTTTCATTTGAGATTTAATTGAAAATAAAGAAGTGTATGCTTTTTTTCAGGTGTGTGAAAGCCCTTCCATGGAATTTTAAAACTTCCATGATATCATTTATAAAGTTTTGTAAAAATTTCATTTGATAAGGTAATAATTTTTTTGTAATTTATGTGACTTGTAACAGAATAGATTTTCATGATGTATGGAACCTATTAAATTCAAAATAATCACTGAAAGGCTATGTGTATTTTGTCCTGACCCTGTTCTCTTTGAAGATTAAAAATAAATTCCAGTAGATGGAGTTCTTGGTAAGCACACAATGTAATATAAACTCTACACAATAAGGAAAAATGGAAACATGAATGATTTTTTTCTATATGAGATGTTGTTACTTGATACATAAAGACCCAGGAAAATATGAGCAATTCTCAAGAGTTGACACAATGTCAAAATACTCCATATGTTCAAATTATGAGAGAATTGCAGCTATTATTATTATGTTCTATGATATAAAGGAAAATATACCAGTAATGAAAGAAAGTCTAAGAAGTCTCAGCACAAAAACAGAACATGTGTAGGCAATCTTAAAAGATTTAATATTGGTGTAATGGGAATCCCAGAATAAGAGAAGACAGAAAACGGGAAAGAAAAAAAAAAATATTGGGAATAACAATGGCAAGAATTTTCTCCAATGTGATGAAGATAAAAATTAGCAAATTCAAGAAATTAAGAAATTAAGAAAATGACAAACACAACAGAGTGTTTGACACATTTAGTCAAACTTCTGAAAGTCAAAAATACAGAGAAAATCTTGAAAGCAACGAAAGGAAACTGGAAAAATTACAAACAGATGATCAGTGTGGGATGGTCACAGTCTCCTCAGAAATCACAGAGCTCAAAGAGCAATGGAATATCTTTAAGGTGCTGGAAAAAATAATTAACTTTTATAGCTTTGAAGAGTGAAGTTGAAATACAGACATTTTCAGATAAAAGGAAACAAGAAAGTTCATTGGAACAAGAAAGGTAAGTTACATTTCTATGAGATGAAATAAAAGAGCATAGTGGGAACTTATTTTTCAGCAACAAATGAAAAGCATTAGGTGTATTTATTTTATGTAAATAGATCTGAATTAATATGGCTTTTTAAAATTCCAGGTGCTTTCCTTTAAAACTTATGAGTACCAACAGTTGCCACAACTGAGAACAAAGCAGGCTGAGGCAAGAGTGTATTTACCCACAGGAGAATTCTATTCTCACCTCCTTCTGCTAATTAGGCACAGGTCACAACATTTTCTGGCTTGGGGTATTTTCTAGGGAATCACTTTTCTATGCTAGCCTTACTTCCTCCTAAAATATTATTTTGTGTGATCTAAAATTATTATAAAGAACAAAGAAATGAGATATCTGGGATATCTACTGCACAACAGTTCATAAATCAAATTTTACCCAATTGAAGCTATTCTTCCCAACAGCATGGGAAAATGAGGTAGACACATGCTGATCTCCTAAAAGTGCAATCCCTCCAAGTCAATTCAGTCCTGACATTTTACAGAAAGGAAGACCTTTCCAAAATCCACTCTATTTGGAACAATAGCTCAATGCAATACTTGACCCTGGAGTTCACCCTGTTCAGGAAATGGAGCATTAAAGGAGTTAACTGATAAAATGGGAGCATGAATGGTAAATTACAATATTATATCAGTGTTCAGTTTACAGGTGAGGACTGTATAACCACTGTACTGCCTGGAAATACACAGGCATTCAGTACTGAAGGGCTTTAGTGAATGTCACTGGCCTTTGGAAATAGATATTCACATGCACATGCCTAGAGAAAGCAGAAAAATAAATAATAATGCAAGTGGGGCAAAATGGTACCAAATAGGTTCCTTGGGATAAAAAACATTTGATATAGTTAGCACTCTTTTGTACATTTTTGTATGTTGACAAGCCATCCAAAATAAATGAAAGTATTTTAAAATAAAGTAGATATCATTAAAAATGGAAATAAGAAACAACACTCTGAAAGTAGCAATAATTTAAAGAAATGTTTTAATTCCAAAAGAAATAAAACCTTGTGGAAAATAATAAAGCAAAACACTACAGTTTATGTACATTTAACAGGTATTATTTCTGAGCATGTCCATTCAGATACTATGGGTTACTACGGGTTATTATTGCTTCATATTACCATTAAATTACTTTTTATGTATACAAAGACATAGAACTATATGTGAAAATATATTTTCCCATATGGTCCTTTCCAAATGCTCACTCACTTGCTCTCTCTCCCCCTTCCATCGCTCCTCCCCTCCACACACACACACACACACACACACACAACTTGTCTCTCACAATCCCTGCCTCTATTCCTGTCTACCTCCTTTTACTCTAAGTCAGGAACTTGAAGCTTAAATTGAATAAGCACACTTACACAAGCACTTCTGTTCATAGCCTCAATGTTGATTTCAGTAAGGATGCTATGCACGTAGTTCTCTTCTTTGGCTAAATTTATTTGCCTAATAAAATTCAGTAATAACCGAAAATAGATGAATTAGCTATCAGCTCATTTCAGATCAATCCATGTTGCAAAAATTTCTGTATATTTGATGTTTATACATATATATATATTTTATAAGGTAACTCAGCAAGATCAAAGTATGAATAGGAAAAAATATATACAAAAATAATTCTGGAAAATAAGACATGCTCCAGAGAATCACAGGTGGTGCTGTGATCCACTACTCAAAGTACTCCTGCCTGGATTGAAGGCCCTGTACCTTCTAGGGTTGAAGAGTAGGAGGGAGCAATTACTTTGAGCCTCACTCAGTAGAGTAAGCTGCACTCACAGGAATGTAATACATAATGAGAATAACATTAGCTCCAAGCCACAGGCTGGCAAAAAGGAAAAGGTCAGAGGGGCATTTAACTTCCTCAACAATAAACAAAGCATGCATGTAAATGAGGGAATATTATTGAAAGCATATGCAGAAGAAATCCAAATCAGAAATTATTTGAGGACAGTCTAACAAAGTATCTATTTTTAATAGTGAAATAATTTGGGGACATGGCTTGTAGAAATTTACACCCTTTTATCACAAACTAAAGATTCAAAGCATGTATTCTGGCCAAATACCTTTCAAGTAATGAATACCACTGTTCTTTTATTGCTGAAGATCTGCAATTAGACAAATGGGAAAAATTAGATGTCGCGAAACATAGATTCTACCATGTTGGGACAATCATTGCAGATTACCATACAGAAGGCAGTGGCAGCTGGTGGGAATGCAGGTGTAGGTAGTTCTCTCATACTTGGGTTCTCGATTAGCTCTGCTCTTGTACAGCAACGCCACAAGGATGGACACAGGTTTCACAGTGAAAGACACTGATTTGGAATTTAAGCATTAAATTTAAATTTAAACAGTAGACTATGGGATGCAAGCTCTGTGATCTGTGATCATGGGAAAGTATTTCAACTGCTGTAAGCCTCAATCTCCAAAACTGAAAAAGTGGTTAATTAAACCTCAGAGAATTCTTGAATCTCACTTTCTCTCTCTCTCTCTCCTATTTCTTTATCCTCCCATCTCCTTCTTATTTATCCTTTATCTCTAAATAATAACTGTCTTCAAACTGAAGTTTTGGTGGAACTGAATCCCCTGTGTGAACCTAAATGACCATAAGAACACAAAATAGCCCTACTCTGTGTAAACAACTACTTTTTAGCTATTACTATGCAGCTTCCCACTATAAAGGGACAAACACTAATATTTTTTCTATGTTTAATGCCATACACTTGTTGTGCTAAAGCTTAGTATGTGCAAACGAACTGGTGAGCAACTATCAATAACGAATATATGAGAAGTCTATAAATTCATCTGAAACTCTATTGGGGAAGATAATACCTGGATCTTGAGGGGATTGATGTTGGACAGTGGATTTCAAGCCTCACTCCCTCCAATTTTCTTTCCAAACACCAAACACCTACTCCCCAAGTAGTTCCCAGAGCCCCTTTGAAAAGTCATTGCTGGGAAAAAAAAATGAAGTTACTACACTAATTCCCACTATTTGACTATCCTTTCAATTGTATTTGCATACAAAAACCTCTTGGGGGAAAGCACAATGCAACCAAGTGCTATGACTAAAGGTCAAAATGTGAAGCAGTGCCATATTACATGAGCAGATTAAGATGCTTTCCTTTTCAAAAAGAAGTTTGGACAAAAATTTAATGCTTTTCCCATCTATCCTGGACAAGAGGTAGTCAACTGTGTGCTTCCATGTCAAAGTAAAACAAGATAGAGTTGTGGTACTTACGGGAAAGTGGCCACAAAATTTGACATTGGCCATCCCAGAAGGAATGATCTGTTTACTAAACAGGGTTTGCCTTTTCTGTGTGTATCATTTCCACATTCAGCTATCCACAGGTGGTTCACTGGTATTCTGTATTTTATGTCGAAAGACTTCTTACACCTAGGAAAGATAATCAAGCAAAGTCTCTGTTAGTTGGCTTCTTAACAAAATTCTCAACAACTGGGTTCCTGAGGAAACCCAGGTTCTCCCTGTTTCAGGACAACCGCCTCTCCTTCATATCTGTTTCCCTCAATGCACAGCACAGAGAAGCCTTCACCAAGAGTGTCCTCAGAAAAGGCTGGCCCAGGAAGACCTGGAACACACAGAACTGCAGGTAGCCAATAGCTACCAAAGGACTGCTCTTTCTCTGAATGCTGACTATGGGGCACGGACCATACTCTGTATATTAAAGATGCTACTTTTTGAGAGAGTCACTCTTATTATCTACATATTATATACTTCAAAAAGTACTTCAGAGGCCAAAGATTGAAAATGGCCTTTGTGAAGAAACAATTAAATCCTCTCCATTATTGCATACAAACTAAAATTCACTTACTGTACAAAGTGTATACATGTCACATTATCAAGTACTTGTTGAACTTGGTTACTAGATCACCCTAAAATGTCAGCAAGTTTCCCCAGAACCTGAAGGTGGGCTGAGGTCTAAGGGAACCTAAGTCACCCAGTTTCTTTCTCGGGATAGGTGGAACAATGTCACACTGATTTGGGGTGATTGATTTGACCAAATTAATTGAATCAAGGCATAACACAATGTTCCATTGGGAGAGTAAGGTGTTACAAAGAAGAAATAAGTTTGTTCATATGAGGGGGTTATTCCTTTACAAAATATATTATTTCTTAACAAAGAAGCTTATCATACTGGTAGTGACTGTGAATGTACCCAAAATTTACGATGGTAATGGCTGCAGTCAATTTTCTAAAAAATGTGATATAATCTTAGGTAAGATGGCAGCATTCAGCACTCAAAAGCACCTTATCAAACAACCTATGTTTTCTCTGTCTCAAAGGTCTGAGGTATATAAGCCAAATTCAAATACCTTTGACTACTTATCCTTTCTGATATTCACAATGGATGTACAAAGTAAATATTGTCTTTTAAAAACTGCCCCATTCTTGACTGTATTTTCTACAGTGGCACAACACAAATCAGGACCTCCATGTTATTTGTTGATTAAATGAAGAATCAAAATATTTTCAAAAGAAAAAGTAAAATCACTCTATTTGCTTATAGTAAGAGTTCATGAAAACATAATTTGTTAGTGATAATATATTTTATGAAAATCAGGACAGTATATAGTATATACATACCTGGAATCCGATATTAGTAAAACCAAGCCATACAAATATGCCAAATGCTTCTTTTTCCTCAAACCAGATTTTAAAGTCACAGGGCCATGGATCAGCATTTCATGATCGACACCTTCCAGCAATGTGATCTTCTCAATTTGGTTGTCAACCACAGGGGGCGAGCTGTCCCTTAGGTATACCAAACACCCAGAACAGACAGTCATGATCAAATGTATGACAGTTTATGCCAAATTTTAGTGGTTGTCCTGTGCTAAAAATTATAGTCTCAACTCCCCAAACAAAGCTCTACAGCTACAAGCCAAGTGAGGTTGTAGTTTTCAAAGCTATCAAAGAGAAGAGGACACTTAGGGAGCTGGATGGAGACCACAATCAAGGGCAGTGCCTGAGGGCAGGCCCTTAGAGGTGGGGGAAACAAGGCAGCAGCAGCTCAGATCAGAGGCCATGGGGAAGGGGGAAGAAGGGCCCTAGGCTGAGAGTGTAACAAAAAGGGAGCAACCCACCACGTCTAATGCTGGGCAGACACTTTCTGAGGACTAACCACTGGATGTAGTAATGTAGAGGTTAAGGGTGACCCTGAACAAATGAGTTTGGAGAATTGAAGGGAGGAAGGTTGTTTGGAGGCCTGTGCTAGGCAGGGTGGCCACCCTAAAGATGCACATACCCTGACCCCTACAACCAATGAATGTGCCACTTGGCAAAAGAGGCTGTGCAGATGTAAGAATGTGAGCAATATTATAGGGAGATTAACCTTGTGAGCCGAAGTACTCACAGGAGCCCCCAAATTGGAGAAATGTCACATGGATTGAGTCAGGGAGATGCACAAAAGGGGCAGCCAAAGAGAACTGAAGGGTAAGAGAGAGGCTGAATCAATCACATGTGTAGGAGCCACATGTGAATGTGAGACAGGACACAGCCAGCTCCCAAGAGCAACCATCAACCATGAGCTGACAGCCAGTGGGAAAAGGGAAACCTCAGTACTGCATCCTCAAGGAACAGAATTCAGCCAAAGATCTGGATGAGCTCAGAAGCAGATCCTGGCCCAAAGTTGCCAGGAAGAAGGGCCACCTGCTCCCACCTTGACCAGGCCTAGAAGATCCTAATCAGAGGACCCAGAGAAGACCAAATAATCCTCTGACCTACAGGCTTGGAACAAGACATCCTTGTGCAATCTTAAGTCACCAAGTCTCTGATAATAGTTGTAGCTGCACTCAGGAAAAAAAATTTTTTTTGTTCTGCGGGACTGTGCTTTGCTGTAATAAGCACAAAACTATCTGAATGTAGATTTGAAGTCAGCAAGAAATGGAGACTAGAAGAAGTTTGAGGAAGCTGAGAAAAAAGATCTTGAAGACTCCTTGAGAAGAACCATGGACATTCAGGATTCTGCCACTGAAGGCTCAGAAGGTACTGAGAGACATTAACAAAATTAAAGTACCAATGTCTCTAGCTAGCCAAGTATCACTGGAACATATACAATAAGAAAATGTGTAATGTGGAAAAACAATATCAGTTTATAGTGTTAGATTGAAAGATAAAAGTAAAATATCAAAAGTAAAATTCTGTAAAGTTCTCCATAAACTTTGCTGCTGTTTCATTCTGATTGACAGCAACAGGTATGTCCATTGACAAAAGTTCCTGTCACATTTTTACTAGAAAATAAAATATTTTCTTAATATTTTAAAGCAATTTATCTCTTTATATTTATCTCCATTCAGTTACCTAGTAAACACTTATTCTACCTCAGTCACTATCTACATGCTATAAAGGCCACTTAGATATGACTTTTTACTTACCAAGTGCTTAAAAGGAGAAAACACTTTTTCTTAAACCTATTTAATTTACCCACCATAGGTAAAACAAATGACATGGAGATTTGGGAAAAGGTAATTATAACTGACTTTCATGTTAACATGAAAATTTGCATAATGATGGGTCTGTTAAATTGAATCCCATCTTACATAAATCAATATTCACATTTGGAGGAGAAAGTGCTAAATAATACCAAATGATAATAGAAAAATCCAAAAGTTTCTAAAAACCAGACCATGCTTAGATATCAGTTGAAAGAAAGAAAAAAGAAAGAAAAAAGAACAAAGGGAGGGAGGGAGGAAGGGAAGGGAATAGGAAGGGAAGTCTCGTTACATTTAAACCAATGAATAAGTAAAAGGAAGGAAAGGGAGGGAGGAAGGTAGGACAGAGTGGGGAGGGAGGGGGAGGGAGAGAAAGAAGGGAGGGGGGAGGAAGGGAAGGAGGGGGAAGGGAAGAATGGAGGGAGGGGGAGGAAGAGAGGGAAGGAGGAAGAAAGGAAATCAGAATGAAAGAAAACTAGAGTGAAAAGGGGGGAAGGGAAGGAAAGGAGGGAAGGAGGAGGAAGGCAGGGAAGAGAAAGGGAAGGGAGGGAGGGAGGGAGGAAAGGAAGGAGGGAGGGAGGGAGGGAGGGAGGGAGAGAGGGAGGAGGAAGAGAGGGAGGGAGGAAGAAAGGAAATCAGAGTGAAAGAAAGAAAACTAGAATGAAAACAAATGAAGCTCTATCATAAATAAGGCAGCCCTTTCAGAGACCTACAGAAAATTATCTCCCATGGAACCAATGTCTCCCTTAAGCATACAAATCTGCTCTCTTGAGCTCAAGGGCAATAATCTGAGAAGCGTGATCAGCTTTTCATTAAATCAGTGCTAAGGTTGCAAGTTCCTGTTTCAGGGGCCAGCAGAGAACAGTTCCTGGGACCCCCCAGTCCATTAGGATGATCAGCAACAGTAAAAGGAGGGCCTACCTGGCGCAGTGAACTTTTGAATGACGTCCAAAACGTTTGAAACGTTTTTTACGTGATGAAAACATCTTTTTCTCTTCAATTTTCAACACTAGAACACAGTCCGGTCTGCAGCAATCGCTAGAGCACTGTGGACTAATCCACAAAGACCAGATTCTGCAGTAGTCAGGACAGCCCACCATTATGATGTCACTACTCTGAGGCTCATGTCCTAACCAGGATTCTCACAGGCTGACACACTGCTTTCCTTGATTTAATCTAAGATCGTTGTTGATTCACACAGAGTTGTAACAAATAACATAGAGATAACAGCAAATTTTCATTCAGTTCTCCCAAAAAATACAGTACAATTGTACATTACTATAAAATTATATAATATTGTATATAGTAACATTATGCACAATACTAAAACAAATAGGTTTTTCTTTAAAAATTTATTTATATACTTGAAAAGCAGAGGGACAGACAGACAGAGCTCTTTCACCCTCTGGTTCACTCCCCAAATGGCTACCACACCTAAGGCTGTGCCAGGAGCTCTATCCTGGTTCCCCACATGAATAGTCATAGTCCAAGTACTCTGACCATAATTCTCTGTCTTTTCAGGTGCATTAATAGAAAACTGAATCAAAAGGAGAGCAGCAGGGACCCCAACCTGCACTCTGATATGTGTTGGCATCCCAAGCAGCAACTTAATCCCTGCGCCACAATGCCAACCCCAAAAGTAAGTATTATTATTATTTTTGTCTTGATTTGTTTGTCTCTTTAGAAGCATCTGAGGCTGGGTAATGTGTAAAAAAAAAAATGACACTTATTTACCTTAAAGTTGGGGAGGCTGAAATGCCAGGATCAGATGTCCCACTGATTTTGCCACCTTTCCTGGCTGGCATCTCCTTGCTGTTTCTTTACAAGGCAGGGAGAAAGAGGTGAGAGATTCAACATGGGAATTTGGAGGACACAATTCACACCATAGAAGTCTTTTTTCAGTTATTGCATTGAACACTGATGTTTCTACACTAAATGTCAAATAGCATATCAATGTGATGCTATGCCAGTAATACCAGTATTTAACCACATCACGCCACAACACAAAGCTATTTTCTTCATTCTATTTTTTCCTTAAAACTTTAAATGAGTGTTGAAATGGCAATATAGAAAAAGATTTTGTAGAGACGATCGCAGGAGCTTTGGGATCAAACTATGTGGTTTTGAATCTGTTTTCATTATTTACTACCTATGGGACACTGAGCAAAGCAGTTATTTGTTAAAGTCCCAGTGCCTATATTTGCGGAAATGATGGGCAGAGCTCCTCAGAGGGTGTCAGGACCATTATATGAGATCATACTACACAGGACTGAGGGCTGTACCTAACACAGTAATCCTGTAAACATCAGATATACTTCCTGGAGGCAGGAAGCCTTCACCTTGCAAACTAGCAAATGATATCATGGGTGTTCTTCCATGCCCAGAGAAGGGAGAAGGAACAGATGGTAAAATCAAATACATGGAACAATGATAAGGTGCCAAGCTCCTGGCCAGGTAGCTTACAGACACGATCTCACTAGCTCCACTTGACATAGTGAGCTAAGAATCTTAGATGTAGAGACTGATGCTTAGTGGAGGTAAATAACTGAGAGCCACATACTTAACCTTTTGTAGTCAGGATTGTTGGATTCCTGAGTTACACAGTGTTTCTGTAATCAAGCAATGCTTTCCCTCTGTGGAGGAGGGAAAAACACTCATCTATGTGACATCACATCCTGTCCAGGGAGGTTGCAGACTCATGTACCTGGCATGTATTTGAGGCTTCCTCACTCTCTGTATCTAGATATGGTGCTCATTCAAACTCACTCTCTTCTTTCACGGCTGGTTCTGAACATTTTAACCTCTGTGGGCAGCTTGTTGCCAACTCTCAGACAGCAAGTTGGCATCAGCTATCAGAGCTGGCAGGGGACACTTGTTAATTTAAGCATTTAGACCCACCTTCATGACAATGGCCAGGCTGCCCATGGTGGCCAGTTTTAACAGCCCTTTCTGAGGATGGCAGTGGGGTCCAATATGCTAAGCCCCTGCATGCAACACCATCATCCCATTTGGGAGTGCCAGTTTCACTTCTAGTTGCTCTTCCTCTGATCCAGCTCCCTGCTGTGTCTGGGAAAGCAACAAAGGTGGTGCAAGTACTTGGGCCCCTGCCACCCACATGGGTGACTTGGATGGAGTTCCTGACTTCTGGCTTCAGCCTGGCCCAGTTTCAGTCACTGCAGCCACTGGGCAGTGAACCAGCAGAAGGAAGAGTTCTCTCTCCTTCTGTCTCTCCCTCTTTCTGTCTGTCACTCTACCTGTGAAACAAACAACAAAAACACTTTCCACTTCGTGCTCAACCTGATCTTCATCCTGAGTCACTGCTACTGTGAGTTTTCCCTTCTCAATCTGCTACTCTGAATCTCTCATATTTGCTCCACCAAGTGACGCAATCCCACATCCTGACAGAAAGCACTTGTCTATGTGCCCTTTTCTGCCCTCTGCCGAACATGACTGGAAGTCAGATTCAGCCTTTCAGGATGAAGACTGCATTCAGTGATATGAGTGGAACCCTGAATGCCAGATAAGAATGTGCCATAACACTAAGTAAATAAATAAAATTTTGAGACAATATTTGAAAAATTTAAAACAACTGTAAGATATGTGATGTACAAAATATTTATGTTGGGGATGGTGTTGTGGTGCAGTGAGTTAAGCTGCCTCTGCAACACCATCATCCAATATGAGAGCCAGTTTGAGCCCCAGCTGCTCCACTTCCAATCCACCTCCCTTCTAATGCTCCTGGGAAAGCAGCAGGTGATGGCCCAAGTCCTTGGGTTCTTGCATCCATGTGGGAAACCCATATGGAGTTCCAAGCTCCTGGCTTCAGCCTGGCCAAGCCCCTGGTGTTGCAGCTATTTGAGGAATAAAGTAAGGATTCTCTCTCTCTCTCCCCTCCCTTTCTTTTTCTCTCCCCCCCCATTCTGTGTGTATATATGTGTGTGTTTGTAAATCTGCCTTTCAAATAAATACATAATTTTTTAAAAAAATCTAAATGCACCTTAAATAGGTACATAGGCACTGTCATCTTTTCATTAAAGGGAGAGTTCTAACACCACAGAAGAAAACTGTGGTACTAATATTACAAATTCTTTGCCATGATTCATAGAGATGAAGGGGAAAAAAACAACTCAGCTGAAAAACAGGATAACACAAGAGGCAAAGGGAGAAAGTTCAAGGAAAACAGATGTAGCAGTTAACTCCTGAAGAAAATAGATACCTAAAAGAAAAGAAGAAAAATTGATATTTAAAAAAGTTAACACTTCCAGACTCAAGAAGGGAAAGAATGAGTGACTAAGAATTAAGAACAATCAGCAACATTTAATGTTTTATGCTTATGATCATAGAAATTAAACACACCAATAGCCAAATGAGTAATTTCTTGAGGGCTTGAAGGCTAAGCTTAAGGAATCCCATTTGATCTAACACTTGACAAATGTATTTTCCTCAACAGGTAAACCCATGATAAGTGGTCCATGAGTATGGGGAAATTTAGTAATTGAAATAATGTAAATGCTATTTCAGTTTGCCCAGACAGCATACAAATAAAACATGACAGACAATAATAACTCTGATTGAGAGTAAAAGCAATAGAAGTATGTATCTAAAAATAATACAACATAAATGTTAAAGTAGTAGAGAGATATGGCAGGTAATGTCACACAAATATGTTTACTAAAACAGACAACAAAATATACAATTTCAACATATTCTTTAAAATTGTAAAGATAACCACCAGAAGACCCAAACAATATGACTCGGAAGTCATAGGTGTAGGTAGACATGGAAATGGTGGAAATGTGGCCAAACTATTCTTTCAGTAGATTCCTTATACTATAGTTTTCTGAATTTGTTTCCCAAAGTCTTGTGCTAGAAACTCAACCCCCAGTGCAGCAGTGTTGGGAGATAAGGTCCATTGGGAAGTATTGTCATCATGAAGCTTCTGCCCTCATGAATGGATTAATGTCCTTTACTCAGGAGTGGGTTCATTATCCAAGGAATTGGTTTGAAAGGAAAGTGAGTTAGGAAGGCCAGTACTGTGACACAGTGCTTCACTTACTGCTTGTGATGCTGACATTCCATATTTGGAGTGGTGGTTTGAGTCACAGCTGCTTCACTTTCACTCCAACTCCTTGCGCCTGAGAAGTCATCAGATCATGGCTGAAGTACTTGGTCCCCTGCCAACCACATGGAGAATCAGAATGGAGTTCTTGGCTCCAGGATTTAGTGTGGCCCACACCTTGCTGTTGTGGCCATTTTGGCAGTGAACCAGGAGATGAAAGCTCTTTCTCTGTCCCTCTGCCTTTAAAATAAATTAATAAATCTTTTTTAAAGAGTGGAGCAGGCCTCTTGCTGTCTCTCACAAGTTCCTTTGTGCTCTTTTGCCCTTCTATTTGTTGTCATGTTATGACACAGCAAGAAGGCCTTCATCAGATCTGGTCTCACACAGGACCATGAGCCAAATCAACTTCCAGTGTTTATAAATTACACAGTGTGTAGTGTTCTGTGCAGATCACAAAACTCACTAAGGCACTAACTGCATTGAAATCCAAGAAGTGGCAGTATTATCATACGATTAAAAAAAATACAATAACCACCAACACAACAGAAGAGGCTTTAAAATAGGGAGATAGATTAGAAGTGGGAAGTGTGGGAAAAAAGCCAGGTAGAGAATTTACTTTTTGTTGTTTGATGTTTTGTATGTGTCTATATATTCACTTTATCCTATAAAAGTTAAAATGAGAACAAAAAAATGCAAAGCTTGCTGCACCTGCTGCTCTTGGCTCTACCCTCACTTGCAACACTCCCCCACTGGCAGCCATTCTTCCTAGATTCATGATCAGATTCTAAGAGGAAGTAAAAGAGAATAATAAAAGACAATTATGCTCCAATGTGTGGGCTACCTGGGGTCTTTTTACCTAGTTCTCAAGATCTCTCTTTTTAATGGACCAACCTTTTGAACTAACTTTTGACTAACCCATGGCATCTAGAATCTCATTAATGTTTTGCAGAGCAATGGAATTATTCTGTTATTTCTTGACAAGAGTTAACATTGATTCATTGATCATTCCTGTGTCCTTGTAGGTTTTTTTAAATTATTGATTAGCATCAGTTACTTGCCAGTTGAGACCTATTTGATCTCTCTAGGCAAGAATGACAAGGCTGTGGCAGGGTGATGAAATTACTAGAACTGAATAAACAGAAAATCATCTATTAAGTTACAACAGTGCTGAGGGAGAAGGATGGCAGTCGGTATTCTATTCCTCCTATTTTCAGAGAGAAGAGTGAATTTTACTTCACTCCTGATGAGAACATACCTGGAGAAATTTCAGAAGTTTTCACTAGACGTATCCCAACTTGCACTGAGGTGCTGAAAGCATTTGACACTAGAAATGAGGACATGAAAATACAAGAAAGAATAATGTCTCCGGTGCTCACTGACAAAAACAGTGACATACATGAGGAGTTTCCCAGAAGCACCAACAATGCCACCAAAAACAACACACACATGGAAACTCACACACATGGGTTTGTGGGAGCACAATTGCTAACAGGTAATTTGGGGTCAGGAAATAGACTCACCAGCTGTGCACTCCATTTTTCTTTTTTAATGTATATAAATGGAACAGATTTCATGCATTTCATATGGTTTTAACATAATGATACTTCTCACCCTCTCTCCCTTGCTCTCTCCCACCCTCCTCCTTCCTTCCTTATGGCTGTGTACTCTTGCACTGGTGTGATGGACTGGTCTTGCATGCAGCTGGGACCCAGATGTGCCCTGGTCTTTGCCAGCTACAATACAGATACCTGTAAGTTGTATACTATTCCCTTTGCTTCACCAAGAGTCATTTCCATGATTTTATTTGTGACAACTTTTGCAGCAGAATTGTAGTTTCCTTTCTGACTACTAATCTCTTGGAGAGCTGAACAAAAGTAGGGATTTGAATTGAGTTAATTTCAAATGAACCACAGAAGCCATGTCCATCCCTGTGAAAGACAACCCAGGATACAGAGGCAGTTATCCAAGGAAGACTGCCTGAGATTGAACACTTGTATGAAATAGGAACAAAGGAATTGAAAATTCTACATCTGTTGATTTTTCATGTGTGGAGGAAAAAGTGGAACATTTTTATGTTATCTGTCCAGTCTTTGCAATTGCTTCAGGGATTCTGGGGTGCTATTTTAGACAACATAACTGAACTTAATTAGCAAAAAGTACTAGAATAGGGAATGGATTCTCAGTTTAGAATGCTCACCAGCAGTATAAGAGGGACTTAACAGCAGAAAGATGCAGGGCTTAGACATGGAGAAGGCAATAGTCCTAGGAGCATGCAGACTTCTCACAGGGATGAACAGCCTACTCTGGCTCACCTCTGATTACTTGTGGAGTCCTGTGTGTGGTGGTATTTCTTCCCAATCCTCCTCCATGATTTTTCTATATCAGCCTATCACCATTGAATCCTGATGTATTAAGATAATTCATGGTGTACTTTTGAAATCTTTTGCTTACAGCAATTGGCCAAAATACTTTAGGTATACATCTTTCTGAATACAGATGGACACTTATCTGTTTATCTAAGTATCAATGATTAGAAAAAATGTCTTAAATTCACTGTCTGGAGGCTACCTCAAATCCCCTTAAACAAGGACAGCTTCTCTCTGTGCTGAGAGAACAAACAGGCAAACGCAGGGAGGGAAATGTTATGCTCCACTATTCGAGTTTGCATTCCAATCCTGATATCAGAAAATGGTACTGGAGCCTTCTTTCTCCACATTCGTTCTCACTATCTCAAGCAGCAAAGGAATCTTTCCAAAACAGCATGTGGCCCAAGTCTCCTACTTCCCCACCAACCCAACCTGTATTCACTCAAAAGCTAACTGAACAGGTGTGAGCACCTCACTGGCACCTGGCACAGAAGATGTTCCATACCCATGAAGCTCCTTTCCAGATCTGGAGGCTCTATAATCACAGCCTGTTTTACAGAGCTATGCTGACTATTAATCATTGCAAATATACAATCCAAAAGCTGTTTTGTAGAAATATTTTGGCCATCACAGAATCAACATATCTTCAAAACAACTACTTTGTATACTTGGAAGGTGAGTCTGCCCTTTCTGAAAGTAAATTCATACCCATGACCCAAGGCATCCACTAATATAGGTCTATGTCTAGACAGTTTTCAAAGATGTTCAAGATATTTCCTTTGCATCAAAATGGAGTAGATGGGGTTCATTTTATATTTAGAGGCCTTTTGGTGCACAGATAAAATTCCAAGATCATAAAGATTTTGTGGGAAGTTGTTTGGCTCAGTGGTTAGGATGCCAGTATCCCACACAGGAGTCCTGGGATTTGAGACCCAGCTCCATTCTTGATTCCAATCTACTGCTAATGTGCACCATGGGAGGCAAATAATGGTTCAAATACTTGGGTTTCTTCCATCCATGTGGGATACTTACACTGAGTTCCTAGCTCCTGACTTCAGCTTCACCCAGCCCTGGCTGCTGAAGACATTTGGGGAATGAACCAATAGATGAGAGATCATGTTACCCATTTGTCCCTGTCCTCCTGTCTCTCTACCTTTCTAATTGATAAAATAAAAGGCTCTTAAATTTTAAAGATTTTGGTCTGCTCTAAGTCTGTTTGTGAAAACTTGCCAGGGCTAGTGCTATGGCATAGTAGGCTATGCCTCCACTTGCTGTGCCAGTATCCCATATGGGTGCCAGTTCATATCCTAGCTGTTCCTCTTCTGATCCAGCTCTCTGCTATGGCCTAGAAAAATAGTGGAAAATGGCCCAAGTGCTTGGGCCCCTGCACCCACATGGGAGAACCCTAAGAAGCTCCCAGCTCCTGGCTTTGGATCAGTCCAGCTCTAGCCTTTGCAGCAACTTGGGGAATGAACCAATGGATGAAAGAGTTTTCCCTTTGTCTCTCCCACTCTCTGTTTATATCTCTACCTCCCAAATAAATAAATAAAATCTTTTTTTTTAAAAAAGAAAACATGTTTGCCTAGAAAATGATGCAAATAAACACAGTTGAAGTAGACTCTACAAATAAATAATTATATTGCCTTTCTCTCCTATAAAATATGTCAGATGGTAGCAGAGAATAACAAGGAATGAATTAACACAAAACAACTAAAGTTATTAGAGTGTCGGCTCTGACGTTTTTCTCCCAACCCTTTTTTTTTGGACAGGCAGAGTTAAGACAGTGAGAGAGAGAGAGACAGAGAGAAAAGTCTTCCTTTTCCGTTGGTTCACCCCCCAAATGGCCACCACGGCTGGTGTGCTGTGGCCAGCGTGCTGTGCCAATCTGAAGCCAGGAGCCAGGTGCTTCCTCCTGGTCTCCCATGAGGGTGCAGGGCCCAAGCACTTGGGCCATCCTCCACTGCCTTCCCAGGCCACAGCAGAGAGCTGGACTGGAAGAGGAGGAACCGGGACAGAATCCAGCACCCCAACCAGGAATAGAACCTGGTGTGCCGGTGCTGCAGGTGGAGGATTAGCCAAGTGAGCCACAGTTCCGACCTCCCAACCCATTTTTAAATGGTCTGGTTTCTGGGCTACAAGCTTTTTGCCAGACCAGAACAGAATTGAAACTAATAGATGAAGTAGCCAAACTGAATACTGTTGGCTTTCAAAGACATAACCCATTTAGGATGGAAAGATCTCTAAAGATCTGATTTTTAGAAAATATAAATAACATTTGAAATAGAGGGGGCAGTTTTTATTCTATATTTATTACAACATAAATTTAGATTATAGTCACCGAGCACAATAACTTGAAATATATTTCATACATTAATAAACTTGAACAATACATTATTATTTGCAAGTCAAGCCAAAAAGAAATTCCTCCAATTTTCTCTGTAATGGAAGTTGGGGAGGGGAGTCATGGATGGGCTTTCTTGACTGAAGACAGAAGCAATAGTCCATCTCAACTTTAAACAAAAGCACAACTGATATGCCCATGGAGCCCACAATTCAATGTCTCACAACAGCATGAAATTCAGTGAAATAATTCACACAAAAGACATAGCAAACCAAAGACACTTCGTGATTTAATCTGATGCATTAATATGTTTGAGCCCTGAAATCCCCATGTGAACTTCTAACCATAAAAGTTGAATATTAGTCTTACAATCTGAAGACATTCAGCTCAATTTGAACATTACAGCATTAGTCACATCTGGTGGAAAATGTAGGAGTTACAATGGAATATTATCTAGCTAGTCTGATCTTCCATGTACAGTAATTTTAAGAAAAATTTACTATTAACACAGAAAAATAAGTAACAGAAAACCATCAAAAAACTGACACGTTATGAATGCCAATGAGGTTTTAACATATAGTTTAAAATACATAGCAGGGGACTGGCATTGAGGTGCAGCAGGTTAAGCTACCACTTGTGGCCCTAGCCAGGAAATGCAGAGGAATGCAAATGTATGCATACATCTGTATCCCTTCCTGTATCTGTCACATACACAAGCACACATCTGCATGATTACATATACACACACACACACACACACACACACACACAAATACAAACAAAAGGAACACTTTTCCAAAGCTTCTAAAAACCATGATTCAGGGCCAACACTGTAGCACAGCAGGTTAAGATGCAGTCTGCAGCACTGGCATCCTTGGATGGGTGCCAATTTGAGTCCCTGCTGCCCCACTTCTGATCCCTGCTAATGTGCCTAGGGAAGCAGTGAAGAATGGCCCAAATGCTTGGGCCCCTGCAGGCATGGGGGAGAACCAGAAGTTCCTGGCTCCTGACTTTGGCCCAGGCCAGCCCCGGCCATTGTAATCATTTGGAGAGTGAACCAGAGGATAGAAGCTCGCTCGCTCGCTCTCTCTCTCTCTCCCAACTCTCTTCTCTGTGTAATTCTGCTTATAAATAGAATAAATCTTTAAAAAAACACATATTCATATTTCTAAATCTAACCATTCCACGGGTTTATTCTAACCTACCCTTTTCTTTAATTCCTCTCTCTAAAAGTAGGAAATCTATCATTATCCATTATGTTTTTTACTTTTTGCTTAATCCTAGCATAACCTCAGAGTAGTTTCCAAATTTCTAACCCATAATTCTATGAAAAGTACATTTACTCCCTAGAGTACAATAAATGTGTAGTACAATAAATGTGTTTTTGTCTTGATTTAGAGTGTACAGGGACAAATGCCATCTCCCAAAGTCACTCAGGTGAGTTCTTCACTTCCTCGTCTAATTCATTTGTGACAAATCGGGGTGTTCTGTTTGTATTCCATCTTGCACTTCCACTTTGCATAGTTCATTTTATAAGTGAGTTGGGGTGTTTTCTTTAACCTTGTGACATATCAACATGATTCTAAAAGTCAGAACCATGCAAAACCCTATGCAGAAATCTACTCAGAGAGGCACTTCTTCTCTCTCATTCCTTCTACTCTTGTCTCATTCTCTCATCATTCCACTCTTCCACGTCCACTGCCTATAGGTAACCAATCTCACTGGTTTATATGTTATCTTTGGTTTTCTTTTGTGAGAATTTTGCCAACATGTATATTTTCTAATTTTTCATCCTTGTTCACATGTAAGGTACTATGTTATAGAATCTCCTTTACATTCTTCTTTTCCCTTATTTATACATGCTGGAAAGAATTCAGAGTATATAGAGATTATATGGTTAACATTATATTCTAACATTATATTATATGGTTAATGGTTAACATTTCCCCTATTTGAGAATTGTTTAATAAGTTTGTATAAAGGGAGCAAATTTCATATATACAGTTTTTTGTTTTTTGACAGGCAGTGTGGATAGTGAGAGAGAGAGACAGAGAGAAAGGTCTTCCTTTGCCATTGGTTCACCCTCCAACGGCCGCTATGGCCGGCGCACTGCGCTGATCCGAAGGCAGAAGCCAGGTGCTTCTCCTGGTCTCCCATGGGGTGTAGGGCCCAAGCACTTGGGCCATCCTCCACTGCCTTCCCGGGCCACAGCAGAGAGCTGGCCTGGAAGAGGGGCAACCGGGAAAAGAATCCGGCGCCGCGACCGGGACTAGAACCTGGTGTGCCGGCACTGCTAGGTGGAGGATTAGCCTATTGAGCCGTGGCGCCGGCTCATATATACAGTTTTAAGAGTATAATGTTACTTCCAATCCTACCCTCCCTCCTTCCTTAATCCCACTTTTCTTCTACTTTCCTTTCTTATTTTTCTTTTAATTTTTACAATGCCATGCTTTCGATTGACTTTATAATCACAGACTTAACCCTCCAATAAATAAAGAATCCAACAAGTAGTTAGTAGAAAAACTGCTGTTCCTCAAGAGTATAGATGAGGGCTATAAACAATAATCAAGTCTCAAAATGTCAATTTCACTCATATATATTACATTTTCTGTCTTCTCTGTGTTACTTATCACAAATCAGGGAAAACATGATATTTGTTTTGAAGGGACTGCCTTATTTATATTTTTCTAAATCTTGCAATTAGAAATAGCACTTCAGTGAATGAATTTGTACATACGTATTTTCCCATGTTGGAGGTTGTCTTCATGGTAAACTCATATAAGTGGAATTACTGAGTCTAAAGATCAGAGCACAGGAACTTTCTTAGGTGTTGCCAAATGTGTCCCCAAAAGGATTATAACAAGTTTCATCCCCCCCTCCATAGTATTTCTACTGATCTATCTGTAGAATATTTTGGAATGCTGCCAAATTTTCTAATCTGAGTCTAGGAAACCGAGCCCAAAAGTTTCTTTCCTCTAGATTTTTCTGTGCACCCACAGATGTGAGTGAATTCCTCCATCACTGAGTTCCTCAATATCTGTCAAAGTGCTTGGCCTGGAGGAGGTGATACTCCTTACCACCTGTGAGGCAGAGACTCTGTAAGCCGTGGAGCACAGTCAGTCCAGTTTCCTAGGAAGGCTTGAATGCATCCATTCCATACAAGATATACAACACTGTCTCTTCATGGTGGGCTTCTGATGTCTGATTTAGTAAGGGTAGTTTCCAAATATGATATCCCAGGTAGGGTCTCGGTTACACAAATAGCACATCCACTTATATCCTGATTAAAAAAAAAAAAAAAAAAACTGCCATGAAGGATACAGCTACTTTGTGAAAGTATGGATCTCGAAATCCTGAGGGGTCAGTGATGCCATATTTCTAACAAATAAATATAATTCACTCTTTGTAATGAACACTTGTTTCGCTTGGTGTTGGCTCTGCAGTTTGCTGTCTCAAATGTGTCTGATCCTGGACATAAACAAGTCTTGGCAATCCTGTGTTACTCCTCTCACAAAGCCTGACAGTTCTAATCCCGTGTCCACCCTTCCATTTCTAGAGGCGTCAATACCGAGAGTCCCTGATTCAGAACTTTTCATGATGCTCTGAATCTGGTCATTTCCAATTTTTTTAAAAGAATTCATGTGTGGTGTCTGTCTCCTATTGGAAATTTTAAGGAAGCATGAGAGGACATGACAATCATATGTGGATGATAAGGCCAAATGCCTGTGGTCATTTTAACAGTGAGAGAACCACATTCCAGTTTGGGTAGTGAACTATGCTAGCAATTCTTTGTTTTCCCCTTATAACTAAACTCACAAGATCAGGCTGATGTGGCCAAAATTGTAATTGCTTTCCTTGCTCCCCTTGAGATTTGTTTCTTATAATCATTATAAACTAAGCCGAATAAAACTTATTTTGTGCACAACTTTGATACTTTCTGCCCTTGCAAGCTTTCTTTCTCATCGTCCCCTTTAATTTTCTGGATAATCATACTCTTGGCTTTCAGACAAAACTATTCCCTTTTCCCAGTGAAAAAACACATTCCAATACTTTGCACTCACCTTCAGTCTTTCTGAAATCACTGCTCCCGGGACAGCTTTAATACTCATCTCTAACCAAATATCTAACTTCCCTCTCACAAACAAAACCGAGAGGTAAGGAATCAGCACACATTAAAATAACCACATACTGTTACCATAATACCATTACCAAAATAACCACGTACCATTTTTGTACCTTGTTAAAGTGCAAAAATGAACATGTCCAGCAATACAATTAAAAGGAATGGAATCTCATAATATGAAAACAGTAAGCAAAAACTGCTCACCAAAATTTCAGTATTATATCTTGCATAGAAATAATCCATAAATTAATCTAATTTAGTGTTATTCTGGGGTCTTAAAGTCAAATAACACTATGTAAGTTATGTTTAAGCAGACATACATCTTAACATAGTCACTACAATTATAAAAGGTTTTTCAAAATTATATTTCAAATTAGCTTAACACAATTTTATAATTTTATATTTTTCATAATCTTGAATAATATTTTCATGTATTGTCAGCCTACTTGACCAGTAGACTGGTATGAAAAATTTAAACAATTCATACTATCTGGATGCTTCAAGAGAAGCCTAAATCTTATTTTTAAATTGTGTGTTTGTATTTACAATTTACAATACCTGGGGAAATCCTTGTAAGAGTTCATAAACTGGAAGCCGGTGCTGTGGTGTAGCAGGGAAAGCCACCACCTGCAGTGTCAGCATCCCATATGGGTGCCAGTTTGAGTCACAGCTGCTCTACTTGCAATCAGCTCCCTGCTATGGCCTGGGAAATCAGTGGAAGATGGCCCAAGTCTTTGGGCCCCTGCACCTGCATGGGAAGAGCAGAGAGATGGAGACACAGAGAGACGTCTTCCATCAACTGGTTTACTCCCCAGATGGCCACAACAGCCAGTGCTGCACCGATCCAAAGCCAGGAGCCAGGAGATATTAAACTTCGCATGTATTTTTTAGTTCATACACAACTATATTTTCAGTTTCTACGAGTCCAATACACACACACACACACACACACACATCAGGTATTAAACTTCATATTAATGATTTCATACATAACCTATGTTTTTAGTGTATAAACTAAAACATACTGCTCTGTTGGCATTCCACATAGGAGGGCTAGTTCATCTCTCTGTTGATGTGCCTGGGAATGCAGCAGAGGATGGCCCAAGTACCTGAATCCCTGCCACCCATGAGGAGACACAAATAGAGTTCCTAGCTCCTACCCTCGGCCTGGCCCAGCCCTTGCAGTTGCAGCCTTCAAAGCAGTCAAGTGTAGCTCTAAACAGAATATAAGATAGCTGAATTTAAAAGACAGAGTTCCTAGGCAATCCCACATACAAATCTTCTAAGCATCAGTCTCCTCAAGAACACTCCCCCTTGACTCTATCCCACCTTTCCCAATTCCTCATTATTTATGTGTTCAGTTCTCTGTGAATCTTCTACTCTATCCCTCTTATTCCAATAAGTAGACTTCCTGACTCTCTCAACAACACTTGGTCTGGCCCAACTGAACACGCCAACCCTATCCATGATGTCACTCTAAACTGACATAAACTGACAAAGACATGTTAAACCCTAGAAGCAAGAGCAAGTTTTTTTATATCATCTGTAATTTTTTATATCATCTGTAATTTGAGTTCCAAACTTACATTCACCTGAGTTGCATTATGGGGCTTAAGTAGATCATTTAATGTATGAAACTTACAAATGACTTATTCCAAAATGAGGATGATACATGCCTGATAAAAATGATACAATTAAAGTAAATAGTAAGTATAAAATAATTGGCACAATGCCTGAAACATAGTAAGCTCTTACCAAATGCTATTTATATAATCGTGACAATGAAGGTGGTGCTGACAATAATGATAGCAACAATGGTAATCATTAAGAAACTGACAGAAAGAAGTCATTAGCACAATGTAATTTTCTTTTTCTTTACAACAAACATTCAATCAGTGACCTACACTTATTTTAACATTTGGATCCCTCCTATTTCTGGGAAATTTAAAAAATGTGTTGAGCTCTGTCCAAGAAGTGATATCAGAAAAGAAACCCTAAGTTTACCACCTTTATGCATTCTGCAGTTGGAACTTTCTCAGCTTGGCCAACAGAATACTCACCTGGGAAGATGCTCTGTGAGCCAAAGACTACTTTTATACAGCACTCAGAACTTTTTCTCCAGCAGGCACTTGGGAGCAGTTCTAGACACTCGTCCCACATTCCAGCTTGGGGTCAATGCCCTGGGGGACTGAGAAAGTCCTTCTGCCTCCTCCACAGCTTCTTCATGGCCATGATCATTTCCTTGTTTCTCAGGGTGTAGATGGCAGGATTCAGCATGGGAATAACCATTGTATACAGCAGAGACAGCTTTGTC